GATTACTCATGTAGCGATTTCCTTATTTTGTTGCAATTCAAAAACGAACAACTGTAGATACATGAAAATTTCACTGAATGTTTAAATTAGCATTTTCTATACACCATACAATTTTGAAAATATTTTGACTCTTTTTGAGCTGTTTATGGACATTTACAGCTTTCAATTTTTTTTAGTTTTTTTTTCTATAAATATCAATAAAGTTTTATCTGTTGGGCCAAAAAGTGTAAAAATTTAATACAAGGCTCCTGATATATTGTTACAATAGCAGTTGAAAAATATTAAAAATACATTTGCACAGTTTTTTTTTATAAGCATTTAAAGATCAAATTTTGACAAAATTTATCAAAATCTCGAAAATTATCAACCATCGTAATTAATAAATTATAAAATGTTCAGTTTTTATAGCTAAGGATTACAAATTCAACACAAAGGTTCTCATAAATAGTTCATACTATAACCAAAAAATCTAAAAAATATATGAACACACTTATTTTTTACAGACATTTTAAATTCAAATTTGGACGAAATTACATATTAAAAAACCTAGAATAACTATTTTAGTTATTTTGTTGTGATTGAATAACAGATATTATTCGTGGGTACTTGAAACTTTTAAAGTGTACTATTATATATCTATGATAGTATCACGGTTTTTTGTTGATGTATAACGCGTTATAAGTATCTAATGGATATTGTGATATGATTAAGTTGGAATTTATTATAGGTACCTATTATAGGTCAATTTTTTGTTTAATACCATAGACATGTATATAATATGCCTTATACATAGACTGACATACCATCACCGCTCAGAATCGTTTTTCTTATACAATGATATTATATCATTGAATTCAAATTTAATACCATCCATTATACAGTGACCCACTTGTAACCTACTGTACAGCAGAGCGACACCCACTTGTCCACCTTTTTACAATTACTTTTCGAAATGCTTTCTGTTTCTCGATACAATAGCGTCTATTTGCACGCACCTGTTGTTCTACTGCTAGAATTCTGCTTTTAATAATGTTTATTTCTGAGCTCATGATTCTGATAATTACATAGAATTTCAAAACTAACTATTAATACTGGTAGGTACATTGTTTATACGCTCATTATGTTAGAAAATTGATACTTTTTTTTTTTTAATCTAAAATTTTTATTAAATTAGTTTTATTTGTACGATTATAAAACTTGTACAGTATTAAACATTAAAAACATTTATTATCATTCGTTAGATATTATATACACAAAATGTTATAGTTTATAATTTACTACAATATCATTCGATATATAATTATAAGATAAAATAATAAATAATAACAAAAATAATTTATTTATATTGATTTTATTTTTTCGAAAAACAGAATATTATCAGTAACTATATTATTATATACTGTCTAATTGTTCATACAAATCGTTGAGCCCTCTTTGAATACTTTTTTCGCAAAGAAAGTCAATGTATAATGATTTTTTATATTCATTTAATATTTTTTGTTTTTCTTCTATTAATTTTTTTTTAGTTGTTTTTAAACTTGCTTTCGCTATTTTCATATTAATATAATTCCTAAATAGCCCCTCTCTGTTCACATCAGAAACTTTTTTAGAATGGATTTAAACATTTTAATATATTACATATCCTGTTTTCATATTAGAATGGCATTGGTATGTATGTAAATTATTTTAAATCCTGTTTGTAATAATTTATATTCATATAGTGTAATTAAAAATATGAAAGCAATTTATGTTAGCAACAATTTAAATTCATATAATGTAATTTGCTGTTGTACCTCTATGTACATGTTTCGACCGGTTTCTATAAGGTAAGGTCACTGCTGTGGAAATTTGTATTTTAAATTATTGAAGTAATGGAAAATCTGTGTATAAAAGACAGAGGGAATTCACTAATATTCACCAGTCTTCAAGATTTCATCCCAGAACAAGCAGCTCAGTTCAACAGAGATACTACCAAAAAAAGATGTCGTACCGTACAATTGCTTCAACTGATTTAGAGGTTAGTAACTACTTAGTAAATATCTTATAGCCAATGCTAATTGGAGACCAGTCGTAACACTACTCAACGCTATGGTTATAATTCTTGGAACATAGAAAATATAAAATGAAAAAATAGTAAAAAATAATATACTATGTTTTATGTTTCATAGAATGAACATTTCAGCGAATCAATTGATATGAGACCGTCTTTTTCAAAAACAAAACCTGGTCTAAAACGTGCTGCAGAAAAAACCTGGTCTATAACGTGCTGCAGAAAAAACCTATGAAAAAAAAGCAGAATAAAATGGTAATATAAATAACATTTTTTATAATGATAGCATAAATAATTTAATTTTTTTTATAGAATGCATCATACAGAGATAATGTTACCGAACGTTTGAGATCAGAAGAATTTGATGTCGAGTTAATTAATTCGCTGACATTTAGACAAGGGGATGGTGTTGTAACAATAAAGTCACCTTTTGAAGAAAAAGGAAAGGAGCTTTGGGTAATTAGCCACTATAAGGTTGCTAACATTGAGAATATACCAGTAAAAGACAGGTAAATACATTGGTTTAAATTTAAAAAACCTATTGATGAATCTGTTTTTTTTCACTGATTTTATTTACTTCTTTTGTTTTTAAAATAAAATAATTTGCTGTTATAGATGGAAGTTCAGTGAAGCTACTGTCAGATTGTATACAAGCGATGAATCAAAAGATCAAACGCTTCATACTGGTCTTAATGAGGCAATGCAAACCATATTTTGACAAATTACTAACCGATCCGAAGCGTCAGACGATTAAAAGCAAGACGACCGTTTGATTATTATATGAAAAAATGAGTTTCATTCAATAAACAAAATATTATTATACATGTCTGTTTTTATTTATTCAAAACTTAAAGGTCTTGGAAAACATAAACATATAAACTATGGTTGGTTTGAAAAAAATTTAAAAATTATAGTAATTTAAAATATTAACAAATTAAAACTAAAACTTATTAAAACTATTCTTTATGATTTAAGGTGAGATGTAATTAAAATAAAAAGCAAGTTTATTATTGAATAAAAAAGTTTTATTAAAAAAAAACAATAATAATACATATTTAAATATTTTTTATAATATTAGATCTTGTAAAATCATATCAGACAATGTGTTAAAATAGAATTGTAATATTTCATATAAAAATGATGTGTCATCGTTCTGTAGGTGATTATAATAATTAAAATCATAGTTTTGAATATATTGGTTGGTAAATTCGTTCCTCTGACAGGTGGACGGCAGACCACGGACATCATTTTTAATTAGGTCATATGGAGTGTTGAAAGTATTTTGATAATTTGCTAAACGTTTTTGCTTGTCTACCACATACAAATCTATCAAATTCTGTAATTGACGAAGCCGGTACAAATCTACATGGTAATGTATTCCTCGTTTAGATGTAGGGTAATTGAACTCTGTTTAACATTGATTGAATATGAAAAGGAATCGGTAATCTTAACACGTCTCACCCTGGTATTTAAATTATTAATAATTGAATTGAAATTAGATTCAGACATCAGTGTAAACCATTCTTCTAAACTCAATGTAATAATTTTCTTTGAAAGTTTGCATTCCAATAATAAAATAATTGAAATCTGCTTGTTAATTAGTAATCCAACTGTAATACTTTTCTTGTTAAAAGCTCGGATGTCGAATGTAGACTTACTGACAATTATTGGTGGACTCATAGTGAAGTTATTTTTGTTAAATTTATTTAAAAAAAATCTTTTGTATAAATAAAAAGTAGGATATAACTGTTAGGAGTTATACATTGAACTGCTAGTTTTTTCATTTGCAGTCCTATTATATACTAAAAACTCTGATAGAAAAAAATGCAAAAAAATTGTGATCGTATAGATGTTCGATTAGTACATACTAGAAGGGAAATTATACATACTTACTAACCTGTTACCTGAAAAACATTTTAAATTATTTTATACGTACTAACCGACCACGCCTACGACCACGAGATATTAAATCGAATAACAACACATTTAAGATAAAACATTAAATTTTTTTTTATTTTTTTTTTAACCAATACAGCAAAGGTTAGGTTAGGTATATATATATATATATATATATAAAACATGATTTAACAAATGGTGTCGTAACCAGTTTCACAATTACAAATAACTTCGGTTTTACAATATTTACTTAAGACTTTTTGAACAAACTGATTTCCTTTCATTAATAATACATATAAACATTTTGGTGAGAAGTGAGTATGATCTATGAAACAATTATCATCGATTTCAAAACTATGCAGAATTATTCCACCCCAATGGCATTGAACTGCATCATCGAGATTGATATAGTAAAATCCGCATTCGGCTAATTTGTACTTATTTTGACCGGTGTTCGATGGAAACGACTTAAAAGTTCGTAACCTAGATACAAATGTAGAGAATTCTGGATACGCTGTTGTTGAATTGAATCGTATTTAGTCGACCATCGTTTGAACATCTTTGGAAATTCATTTTTAAAAAAAAATTAAAGAATAACTTAGAAAAAAACAATTTGATGAGATGATGATAAAATTAGTGAACGAGACACAACTTGCTCAAGCACTTACTAACTTAGTAACTGAATACATGACAAAATAAATTTTGTCATGACTGAATATAATAAAAAAAATAATCAACTTTAAAAATTATTGTAAATTTGTTTATCAAATTTTAGATAAAAAAACAGTGTAACCAACATGAGTAGAAATGAAATACTGTAAATATTTTTACGAGGTAGAATTTGGTAGACAATCAGTGTGAAATTGTGTTACTTTGAGTGCTCCAAGGGGACATTCCCCACTTGAACTTTTTTTTCCCCTGGAAAAGCTGGCTGCGAACATACAAATATATACTACTATAGATCATCAAGGAATTTCATGAAAATCCACTTGGGGGACATAAAAGTATAACGCGTACGTGCAATAAAATTGCACAGCAGTACCGATGGCAGTTCATGAGAACACCAATCCGGAAATATATAAAGAAATGTCCTGTATGTCAAATCAACAAAACTCAAAACCTCCAATCCATTGTTAACTCAGCATTAAATGGATTGATGCATACAAATGTCTACCCCCCATCTCAATTGATTCACGAACTTAAGCAAATACAACTGACATTACCGTCTACACTAGAGCTACCTATAACTAAATCCCATTTATCCATTCCTGAATTATTCCGAACATCCAAGTTAAGCGTAGTGTGCATACAACAGAATCTCGTATTTGCGACCCGTATCCCCTTATTGTCAAATCTTCGGTTTAATCTGTTTCATAATATTCCACTTCCGATACCTACAAATAAAGGTAATATAGTAATCATTGAACCCCAAGCTCAGTACTTGGCAATAAGCGACACTAGAAAAAACATTTCAGTCTAACCGACGATCAGTATGAAAAATGTGAAACATTGTTCTCTTTTAAGTTATGTGTAAATCCTGAGGCTATCAGTAAATTTATACATCAGGAAAATTGTGAGGTATCTTTGTACAATTTCCCGTATCAAACGATAGGAGCGTGTAATTTCAAATATATGAACCTCAATACTACAATCTGGCATAAGCTTTATATGCAAAACGCGTGGTTATATTATTGCATTTCGCAGGCAGTAACAGTAACATGCGCACAAAACTCTAGCAGAATCCTACTCTCGGGTACAGGAAAAATTCAAATTTCCGATAATTGCGTTATATATACAGAAAATCTGATCTTAACACCATCGAGAACCCTATCATCCGAAATTCATAGAGATTTCGTTCCAGAAAATCCGAAGCTGCACGCATTATTAAAAATACCGGAAATAATTAACAGTCATGTTCCCGAGCAAATTGATACTAATAAATATTTCAAAAATGTTATAATCAGTTAGCTAAAGATGCTGAAAAACTGAAAGAATTATCTAAATTGTACAACGATACTAAAATATTTGTAAATCGAGACCATCATTTTATTATAGTTTATATTATTGTCATTTTAATAATAGTTGTAAGTCTGTACATGTTGATTAAATACAAGTGTAATCTACTCCGACTATACAGACCGGAAGTAGCAGAGTGTGTGCAACCCACACACTCCCGTACTAATTCTAAAATCTTCAGAGCATCGGAACTCACGGATGAGGTGAAACATGGTGATCATTAGACCCCCATGTTTCATGTAGTCCGGGGGGTGTTGTGAACCCCTGTCTGTATGCTATACGCAGTATGAGATATAGTAATAGTATAATATAGAATAGTGTGTAAGCATATTAATGTGTGAACAGACAGAGTCACACGGACTAAGGGAATTCGCTGTGTGGACAGTTTTGAGCCCGAGCGAGCCCCTACCGTGTCTCGCTGTCTGTGTAATAGACAGTGTAGAACTGGCAGACCATCGAGCAGAACCTCTATTAAATTACTTAAGTCTAATAAGTACTCTGTACAACTAAATTTCTTTTAAAATAATATATTATATTAATAAAGTATTAGTGATAACTCATACACCACGTATTTCTTTATTAGCGAACAAACTCGGTTGTGGAGACGTCCATAACATATCTTACCCTAAAGAACTTCATGATCTACATTCAGATTTCCCTTTAGCACCAGAAAGACATTTTGATAACAAACAACTCCCAAAATTATTAACAACTTTGTATGATAAGAAAAAATATATAATACATTATGAAACACTAAAATTATATATTAATTTAGGTTTAAAGATAGAGAAAATTCATAGAGTGTTAGAATTTAGTCAATCTCCTTGGTTAAAAGTTTATATTGATTTTAATACTAATCTTAGATCAGAAGCTAAGAATGAGTTTGAAAAAGAATTTTTCAAATTAATGAATAATACTGTTTATGGACGTACTATGATGAATGTTCGAAATCATGTTGATATAAAATTATGTTCGAATGCAGCCCAACTAGAAAAATTAATTACAAAACCAAATTTTGATCGAAGGACAATTTTTACAGAAAATTTAGCTGCAGTACATATGAAAAGAACACAAATATTTTTCAAACAACCAATATATGTAGGAATGTGTATTTTAGATTTATCTAAAATGTTAATGTATGATTTTTATTATAATATTATAAAGAAAAAATATGTAAATAGAGTTAGATTGTTATATACAGATACAGATTCACTAATATTAGAAATAAAAACTAAAGATTTTTATCAAGATATGAAAATTATGTTAGATCATTTTGACACTTCAGATTATCCAAAAGATAATATTTATGGTTTACTTTTAGTTAACAAAAAAGTTTTAGGCAAGTTTAAAGATGAGTTAAATGGAAAAATAATGACTGAATTTATAGGTTTAAGATCTAAATTATATTCACATCAAATCTTAGATACTGAAAAAGAAATTAAAAAAGCTAAAGGTGTTAAAAAAAATGTTGTAGAAAATAAAATATGTTTTAATGATTTTGAAAATTGTTTACTAACAAAAAAATCAAAATATGTTAAACAAAATTTATTTAGAACTAAGAAACATGATATTTTTACTGTAGAACAAACAAAAAAGCTTTAAGTGTTTATGATGATAAAAGATTTATTTTGGAAAATGGTATTGATACATTAGCTTGGGGACATTATAAAACAAATATAGATAGAAATGATTTTGTAAACCATCTCAATACACTGATTAGAAATAAAAATCAAAAAGATTAGAAAATATTTTTAATAGAACAATGTTAAAAAAAAATATATTTACTAATATAAATAATAGAAATAGAAAATTGTAAAAAACTTTCAGATATGATCCAAAAGTATAAAAATATTCTAAAAGAGTTATCAGAAATTGAATCATCTATGTATAGTTTAGAAACGCATGTATCAGTTTTATATCAATCTTATGATGATAATGAGAGTTACAAAAAAAATTTTAAGAAATTAATTGGTTATTTTAAGGAAATTCATAATGAATTATCGGATCATATAATGAGTCATTGGATTGATAACTATTTTTTTTAATGTTCACTTGTTTGTTGTTAGACTTTTTTAATAGAACAATTGGACGGTGTTTGTGCAAAAGGGCTCAAGTCCAAATTTTTCATTTTTCATATTATACATTAATTTTATACGCAATTTTGCGCCGCGTCTACTGGTACCACTGGTTTGGACAGATGTAGAAACGTTATCAAGTTATTGATATGTGCGTTTTGTCACATATCGTAATAACTAAATTTTGTTTGTGAAAAAGGACATAACTGCATACGTAAATATTGGTTTTTGTGTAAAACGGCACAAGTCTAATATTTAATTGTGTGAAAGGGATCAAGTCTTTATATTTTTATACGTTCTGTGGTTAAAACGTTTTATTAATTAATTTTTAACTTTTTTAATTCAAAAAGATGACTTCAAGAAGAGCTGAAAATCTTGTTTCATTAGCAAACAATAGTAAAAACTTAAAAGAAGGTAAAAACCAAGTTATGCACTTTACATTAGTGTTGTGTGTTTGTATTTATTTTAAACCAATAATTTCTATATTTTATTATTTACGTACCTATGTTGTTAGTAAAAATTATATGGAAAATATTAATTTATAAATTACTTTGTATTATTTTGTACTAAAAGGGAATGATATTAATAGCAATAACTGTCTGAATAATCGTACAAAGAAAATATTGACTGTTAGACGAAATTTAAATGTTGAGCTAAATGCTTCTAAGATATCCAACTTGTATGAAAGCAAACAAACAATTATGGTTAGTTCAAATTTATCTACATGATTAAAAATATATATGCCTATTAAGCAAGTTACTCATATTATTTTCATATTTTTTATTTTAGGAATGGGTTGAAGATGTTAATAATGTTAATAAATTAACTTCAAAAAATGTTAGTATAATTATTTGTTAAGATAAAAAAAAATTAATTATATTTATCTATTAATATTATATTATACCTCATTACTCATTAGACATTACTCACCAATTAATTTTACTCTAATTTTATTTTAAAACACGTTTTAACTATCAGGATTATAGCAAAATAAATGATCATCTAGAAAATACAAGTATGTATTGTATTGATAAAGTTTTAGAAAAATGTAATGAAAATATTGAATCAAATTTTCCTGATGATATCTTATCCTTGTATAAAGTAAATATTCTTTTTTAATATTAATTCTCATTCCTAGCTTTTTAATTTAACATAATATTGCTTTTATTGATTATTTTAAGAATGATGGACTTGAAAATATTAATGCTAATCATGCTTGCAATGCTTTTAATGTTAATTTTGCAATTGCTGATGCTAAAAGTCTTAATAATGGTTCAATTAATACAAATAAAAGTGTATCTATCAATGGTACTATTGAACGCATTTTGAGTTTTTAAATCCAACTAAGCTATTTTATAATTATTTAAATAATGTAGGTATCTGCTTATTTTTTTTTTTTTTTTAGAGTGTAGTTAAATTATTTGATGATGATATTGTGTTAAGTGCATTGAGTAGTTTCAATAGTTTAATATTAGGAACTCCTGAAATTAAGGTAAATATCAAATTGCACCTATAGTATTATTTTTAAATATTTTGTATTAGCTTTTGTTTTTTAATACTATCATGGGAATATTTTATTAAAATTATATAGAATACATTCACAAATCAAAATCAAGTAAATGATATGTGCACAGATGAAAATATAAGTCATGTGTCTGGTACTGAGATATCTATGGATTTGGGTAATTTCCCTGTTGAAAATGTCAAAATGTAGAGCTGATTGCAAAAACAAAATTGATCTTGAGTTACAAGATAAGTTATTCACAAATTACTGGTCAATGAAAAACTATAATAAAAGAGTGTCATACATATCTGGATTAATAACTAGTAGCAACAAAAAAACACAAACCAAAAAAGAGTGCACACCAGAAAAACAGAAAAATAGAGTAAAGGTTTATCACTATTCTGTTCCAAAAGATGGTATACTTATTTCAGTTTGTAAAATTTGTTTCCTAAAAATATTTGGTGAAACAGCCAAGTTCACTAGAACTATTTGTTCAAAAAAAGTTGATTCTCCTGTCAGTCGGTGTACACCTGATAAAAGGGGAAGGGCAGAACCTCGCAATAAAATAACTGTTGACGTTCTTAAATGTGTTATTGATCATATAAATCAACTTCCAGCTTATGAGAGTCATTATTGCCGCCAAGAAACCAGTAAAAAGTATTTACCTCCATATTTCACATTGCAACTTGCCTATAATGAATATATTAAAACGGTTGAAAACCCAGTAAGCCGCTCAATATACATAAAATATTTTAAGTTGTCAGGTCTAAAAGTCAAAAATCCCAAAAAAGATACCTGTTCTTGTTGCGACAGGTTAAAAATCCAAATTAATAATACTATTTGCTCTAATGAACAAAAAACCATACTAATTAATCAACAAACGCTACATCACGCTGAAGCTGAAGAAGCTTTTAATTCGAAAAGAAATGATATTTCTACATCTACAGAGAATACATGTGTTATTGCTTTTGACCTCCAGCAATGTCTTCCTACTCCATCTCTAGAATCGTCGGTTGCTTTTTATAAAAGACAATTATGGACATATAATTTCACTGTCCATAACACTTTTACCTCAAAAGCTGTATGTTATATTTGGAACGAAACAATAGCCAAACGAGGGGCAAATGATATTGGTTCGTCCCTATTTCATTATTTGAAAAGTTTGTCATTAGATATTTCGCATGTCATAATGTATAGCGATTGTTGTCCAGGGCAGAACAAGAATAGCATAATTATAGCCATGTGTATTTATTTTTTAGAGAATCAAGATAAAATAAAAACAATTGATCATACATTTATGGTGCCTGGGCATACAAGGATGGAATGCGCGACTCTGACCACGCCCGCATTGAAAAAGCTCGTAAACGTTATCCTTTCCCTATAAACCATCCCCACGATTGGGCAAATTTAATAAGTTGGGCAGGAAAAGATAAATTTACAGTCGTTGAAATGAAACAAAATGATTACTTTGATTTTAATACCCTGTTAAAAAATAAATATCAAATAAAAAAAAAAGATGAAGCAGGTAATGCATTTGTTTTTCGTGATGTAAAATGGCTCAGGTACACGAAAGAAAACAATACTATGGTACAATACAAAAAATCATTAAGAACAGAAGATAATTTTATTGACTTTAATATGGCTCGCAGAAGTGTAAGAAGTTCTTTATTACCTCAAGCATATAGTACAACACTTGCAATATCTGACGAGAAAAAAAAAGATCTTCTTTCTCTATTAAATTTAATACCAGATGTGTATCACGATTTTTACAAAAACTTAAAATCAAAAACCGATATCCAAGATCTTCTGAAGATGACAGCTCTTAAACTATAATATCATTATTAACAATTATAATTTATATTTTTAAATGTTCAAAAAGTAATATTTTACTATTTTTTTTTCTTATGAAGTCTTATTTGCTTATAATTTTATTTGTGTATAAACTATCAAAGTTTGTTATTTATTCTTATTTTAAACTATTTTTCTTATGAAGTCTTATTTGCTTATAATTTTATTTGTGTATAAACTATCAAAGTTTGTTATTTATTTTTATTTTAAACTACCTATTAAACCTGAAAAATAACATGATTAGGTTTATTTTTTGCTATGAAAAAATATTGCTCATTTTTATTATACCTACCAATTTAATATCATTAATAAATAATTAATAAAAATGAGTTATTTGTTAATTAATTAATCATTTAGGCTAAGTAAAAAAAAAAATTAAAAATTCTAAAACTACGAGAACACTGGATAAATCAAATTATTATATAGGTACTATTTTGTATGCCACATTGGTACCATCTACATTTCTGTATATTGCGAAAAAGGGCACAAGTCGTAAAAGTGGTATTAATATATTCGTGCACATGGGCATAAGTCAATTATAATAATGATTCAAATACTTAAGGTATGTAATACTTAATTATGCAAAGTTTAGATGTTTAAATTACCTATTTGTAAAAAAAAAATCATTCATTTATTGTTTTAAATGGCCAATACACGTTTTTTACGTCTACTGTAAAATCGTGTTTTCTAACATGAGCCCTTTTGCACAAACACCGTCCAGTTGTATACACTGCTTGATAGCTGAAATATGATACAAAATATAATTTAAATTTTTGAATAATATTTAAATCCAATAAATCAACATTACCTCATATTTTATTGCTGTTGTTAAATATATTTCTTCTGTTATGTTCAGTATGACATGAATCATTTCAATATATTTAAATTTTGAAATTAGGGACTCGATTTTTACATTGTCTGCTGGTTTGTATATTGTTTAATTTGAATTAGAATATTGATGTATGTACTGTTGATTTATTAAATTTTGTAAAGCAGTTTTAAGATATTTTTTGTTGATAAATTGGAATTTTGTTATAACTTTGATAATTTCTATATGTTGATATAATATGTTGTTTAGCTAGAACAATAAAAAAAAAATATAAATTAATAAAATAAATAAAAAAGTATTAATTTGTTTTCAGATCATTATTACATACTGTACTTTTATGAGATTTGACTGCATTGCTGAAGTATGTTTTCAAACAAGCTACCACCAACAATTCATTATAATTGACATCATGAAATTCTGGAGTGGATTGGAGCACAAACTTCACTGTTCTCTCAGAATCCAAATAAATTACTTTGCAATCATGTTGTATGGTAGGATATCTATTTGGTTTGAATTTATAGTTAACATTATTTATTTTAATTATTTGAGTAATATGTATAGTTGTAAACAAGTTTTAAGTAATAATTACTTAGTAAAACTTACACAGGATTTTCAAAATTCAAATCAAATTTTGCTTGCATCCAAAAGTTTTCTATTCTGTTTATAAATGTTTTGAATTCAATGTCAATTGCATAAATTACATTCTTATTTATGTATTTTTGGTTGTTGATGATTTGCAATCCATCCTCACTAATGACATCCTTTATTTGCAAATTAATTAAATCAATATAAGTTTTTATTATGGTCAGTTTAATTAAATCAATTTTTAATTCCATCATTTCTTTCAGATCATATCCCTTGTAACTGAAAAAAAAAAAAAGTACATAGAAATATTTCTTTAGTAGTATGTTTGAAGTATAATTTCACTTCCTCATCAATTGCTTGGTACAGATTGTACATGATTATAGTTGATATTAAATTGTCAAGATCATTTATATTCTGCAGATGTGGCAGTTGGTCATTGATGTAGTTTTGTGGTGGTATGTTTTGATGAATCCTTTGTGCATTAAAAAAAAATTTGAAATGGAGGGTTGAGTAATAATATTGTTTCTGGAGCCGGTAATTTAGTTTTTAAGGATAAAATAAATTTAGAATTGTTAATGACTAATTGGCCTTGTAGTATTTTGATAGAATCTTTAATTTTTTTAGCAATATTTTTTTTTCCAAGTTTTTCACTATATTTTAACTTTACATAATTTTTAGCTAGAATATTTAATTTTTTAGTGTCACATGATACAATATCTTCGTTTTCCTCGACTCCCTCACCAATAAACTGAATAATTTTATTTGTTTCAGTGTACCTTGCCATTGTTATTGTTGTGTTGTTGTTTATAAAATATTGTATTGCATTTATATTAGTTTGTAAGATAAAGATAATTTTTTGAATGTCTTGTATTCGGCAGCCATAAGAATTTAAATAAAATAGTAATGATTCTGTTGTAAACTTAATCTCTTTTACATTTAAAATAGCTGTAGCAATCATCATAAGCATATTCTATTAAACAAAAAAAAAAATAAATAAATAAAAAAAAAAATAATGATTATCAATAAAAATATTATTTTATGTAAAATATGTGTACTTCATTTTTTGCCAGATATTTCTTGCCATTGTTGTTTGATTAAAAATGAGTGCCCATCATGTGGTACAAAAGAGTAATTTCATATATGAATTGTTCTGTACAAAATGGACAGTTTATCATTATATGTGTTTTTAATGGTGTATCATCCTCATATTTTGTGTCATTTGGTTGAAGATTACCTAAAATAATAAGAAAATTGGTGGGTAAGTGGAAATATTACTTGTGTAAAACTGAAACTGGTAGATTAAAGAATATTAAATGTAATACTTACAGTCCGTGAATAAAACATAATCGGGAACTCCTCTGGATGATTTTTCTTCTCCGGCATTTTTCTTCTCAACTGCATGTTCGCTGAATAAGGACAACATTTTTTGCGTGCGTTTGGAAGTCATGTTGATGAAGAAAGACCCTTAATATGGGTAGTCAATTCGTTATATAGCCAATATCCCCTCCACAACCATAGACGACAGTGGTGCCAAGTTTGGCAGGAAAACGTTTTTAGGGGAATAGGGGATGATATTCTGCTTTTATATACAGGGTGTTGCACGATAAATGTGTCAAACTTCTAGAGGTGTTTCTACACCTTAAATGGAACAAAAAAAGTCCTTGTGACCATAGTCGAATTATCAATAATAAGGGTAATAATTTCCATTTTTGTGTTTTTTTGTTAAACGCAAGTTTGATTCATAATAATATTCATATCTGCTAAACCGTAGGTACTACAATTAAATTGAATACATCGATGAAAAGCTCATAAATTTGGGATTAGGAAGACATATCCTACAAGATTCCCACATGATTTTTTGGGTAAAAAAAATAACACACATTTTTTATAAGTTTAAAATGTCGAAATTTAAAAAAAATTTCAATTTTATCAAACAACAATTTTTTTTTAAGGCAGGTGGGTGCAAATTTCAAAATAACTTCAAAATGTTATAAGCTTTTCAACAGTGTACTCGATTTTTTCGTTAAACCTCTCTGAAGGACCACTATTCCACCTAACGTGTGGAAAAACCGGGAAAAACGTAAATAAATTCTAAGCAATAAATACAAAACCTGGTAAACTGATTTTCTTAAATTTATTACAATTTTAAAAATGTTATAACAAGAGATTCAAAATAAGTTTGTTCATCTACATTTATTGTAAAAGCTGTTCAATGTGTCCACCGTTTTGCCTCAAACAAGCACGTGCTCTCTCACGTACTTGCCTCCCAGTTACTCCTGCTGTCACCACTCTCCGCATTTCAATAGCTGCTTGAAGAATTCTCTGCCTTAGTTCTGCTTCAGAATCGACTTCCTGATGGTAGACTTGACGCGGCTACGGCGGTGGTGGTCTGGTGTTCGCCGTGGGCAGGTCGTGTAGCTTCGGTGAGTGGCGCGTAGGTACGAAATGAATAAGATATACACCAGGGTTAACAAGAGGTCCCTCGTGGAACGTATATTGTTAGCACTTATAACAATGATGATGACACAATACAATAAAATATGACTATTAATGTCGGACTACAAACGGTCGTCACGTGGTCCGTTGCGAGTTACGGTGGGTCGCGTTGTCGCCGTACGTGGGTATTCGTGAACCGTTGGTGGTCGAGAGAGCGAATTGCCGGCGGCCGGTACTCGTATTGCGCGACTTGCCTTCCCGTCCCGCCTTGTGCCTTTGTGGCGTGGTGGGAGAGTTGGCGATGTCGCGCTGTAGCCCGTGGTGGCGGTTGACAAAAGCGTAGACCGGCCGCTGCGGTACCTGTACTTTGTACTGGTTGCCGCTGCGTACCGTGTCATACTCCCCTGCCAAACCGCCACACGGGGTACACTTGTACTAGTGCCGGTGTGTCGTTACGGGGGTGGCTTGTACTACCTCTGGCTTCCGCTTGAGGTAGACTCGCCCGCGCCCGTAGGTGGTGTTTATTCGGGTCTTGGGGACCCTACCGGAGTGTAGTACGCGGGGTCGTACTCCATCTCCGGCAACCCCTCAAACGCTACCAACCAATCCGTCTCGGTTATTCCGTCCGGGGTCCCTGATTGGTTAGGTGGTGTTTGGTCGGTAGACGTTCCCGGCTCCTCGGACTTTCGGTCCTCGGGCGCCGGTTTGTCTACCTCCATCGCTACCGGCGGTATGTGGTCGGTCGTTGGCACGCAGGCTGCTTCCGGGTCTGAGGTTGGCGCAGGCTGCTTGGCAAGCCGATGTCGTTGGCTTGCCTCGCTTTCCCTGGCCTTCCTCTTCTCCTTCAGCTGCTGGAATTTTCTGCGGTTCCGCGCCTGCTGTGCTTCCGTCCTCACCCTTACCGGCGGGGCGGGGTGTACCCCCGTTGACCTGGGTACCGGTGTCGACTCCGCAGGTGTCACGGGGGCGGGTGTTGCGGGGCCAGGTGTCGGGAGGACCGGAGTGGTTGCTGGTGTTGGTGGCCGCGTCAGTGATGGGGTGCGGCTGCTTGGTGCTGAAGGTGGTCGCTGTGGCCGCAACCTCCGCTGGATGTCCGCTGTGCGGTCCGCCCAGCCCCGGTTGTAGATAGCCGCCCGCACCGGGTCCTGCAGGAGTTGGCGGGTCGACATCCTCGCGACCTGGGCGGCTGTTCGCGGCTCATCCTGTCCACTGGACACCAGCCCCAGCCGCTGAATTAGGTCGGCCACCTGCTGCCACTTCACCTGTTGTTGTTGGTCGGCCATGTTATCTGTAAATGGTGATTAGTACAGACAAATGTTTATTTACTTTGACCTGTGGGCGCGCGTTTTAGACACGACACATGTATTTTTCGCGGCGGTTTTTGGTCGGTTAGAAAGACTCCTTTACCGACCTGCTTCGCTAGCCTTACCGGTCCCCACCACTTTGGTGCGAACCCGGCATGAAAATCTTTATGTGCCTTAGATAGGTGGTGTGCTTTGTAGTAGACTACGTCGCCCTTGCCGAACTTCACCGGTGTGCCGGTGTTCGTGCTAGGCTTTACCACTACCTTTTTGCCTATAATACGTTTTTCCCGCTCTACCCTCTCTTCCTGTGATTTTTCGATATTTACCGGTGCAATTTTTGATAGCGCCCAATCTCCGGGTCTCTTGCATTCCCTGCCTAGGACAAGGACCGCGGGTGGGTAGCATGTCTGTTCGTTGCACCTGTTCCGTATCGAAAAAAGAATTGAGGGTAGTTTTGTGTCCCAAGATTTATGTTTGCCGTCGACTAGTTGTGCCCGCAAACCTTTTTTTAAATCTTGATTACGGCGTTCGACTGGGTTGGCCCTCGGGTGGTAGACTGGAGTCGTCCAACCCTGTGCCCCCCAGCGTTCTAGTGCGTTTATCATTTCGTTTGACACAAACTGTGGGCCGTTATCACTGAGACACACGCGGGGGTAACCGAAACGCGAAAAGAACTCTCGCTCTAACGTTTCGATTATTGTTTTTGAGGTTGCTGTTCCTAAGGGGTAAGCCTCGGTCCACCTACTAAAACAGTCGGTTGCTACCAGTATGTACGATTTTCCCTTACCGGAACGTGGGTATGGGCCCATTAAATCGACACTGATGACTTCCCATGGTTGCCGGGGGGTTCTTGGTTGCATTGGGTCGGTGGGACGTGAGTTTAGTGGTTTCGTGCACGCACATACGTGGCACGCACCTACATATGACCTGACGTCATTTTTTTGACCTTTCCAATAGTACCGTTGTCGAACCGCCCGGTACGTCTCTTTCCAACCCGGGTGGTTGGATAAGACGTGATCGTGACACCTCCAAATTACATGTTGTATTTTTGTTTTCGGTATCACGACGGGTGTGTGGGGGCCTACGTTTATGCGTAAGAGACCGTCGGAGAAAACATATGTGTTTGTTCCCGATTTTGTGCTCCTAGTGTTTCGCGTTGGTCCGTCCCACTTATGACCGGCGACTATGTCGCGGATCGCGGCGTCTTCGGACTGCCACTTTCCGAGCGTCGACGCGGTGAGTGGTGTGTCGTCACTGTCGTGGTTATCGAACATGGAGAATATGCGATCCGACACGGGGTCAACATTGGTTGTCGGCGTTACAGGTGCCCCTACCAATTTTTCCTCGAGTCGATCTTCGTCTACAGGTGTGCCCGGTGCCGGGTCGCGGGATAACAAATCGGGTGCTTCGTTTTGTATTCCCGGGACGTGTACCGTACTAAAATCTAAATTAGCTAGTTGTAGTGACCAACGTGTTAATTTTGAATTTTTGTCTTTAGCCCTGTGTAACCATGTCAGTGCCGAGTTGTCTGTTAGGAGTTCGAAACGTCTAACTTTGTCTAACCCCTAACTTTTTTGGGAACCGGAAAATTATCGATGCATACCAATTTTTCCGGTTGTTTTTGTATGCCCTCCGAGTCTACTATGTGCCCTAAAAATGAAATTTCGCGAAGACCGATTTTACATTTTTTTGTGTTGCACGTTAATCCGAATCTCTTGAGGCGCTCGAGAACTTTGTCTAGGTGGGCCTGGTGTTCGTACTCGTCCCTTGAGAATACTACAATATCATCTAGGTAAACTTGTACGAAATCATCCTGGTACCCCCTCATGACCTCGTTCATGAGTCTCACGAAAGTCATTGGACTATTTTTTAGACCGAAGGGGAGGACTCTGAACTGGAATAGACCTCTACGTGTCCGGAAAGCCGTGTATTTTCGCGCATTTTCGTGTAGTGGTACTTGCCAGTACCCCGACCTCAGGTCAAAAATGCTGAAAATTTTCGCGCCCCTCATTTGCCTAATCATTTTGTTGAGATCTGGCATTGGGTACGCGTCGGATTCCGTTACGTCGTTAAGCCGCCTGTAGTCGACACAGAGACGAAAAGTTCCGTCTTTTTTCTTTGCCAATACTACCGGTGCGGCCCACGGGGAGGTGCTAGGTTCTACGAGCCCCTGGAGTTCCATATCGCGCACCATATCATCGATAGCGGTTTGTTTTTGCTGCGGATATGGGTATGGTTTGAGCGCGATTGGGGACGGGTCTTTTAGCAAAATTTCGTGTTCAATTAGTTTGGTACGTCCTACTTTTTCGCTGAATACTACCGCGTATTTGTTTAAAATCTTGGTTAGTTTCGCGCGAGTTTCGGGGTCGTTTCCAAATTGTAATTGTGACAAGTCGGGACGAGTGGCGGGTGGTTGTGGTTTCCCTTTCCAGCATGTCGACGTACGAATTTGCCTACCCATGTGAATTGTGCCTGCGTCGTAATCCCAAGAGACTTCATTGGTTACAAGAAAGTCGTGTCCTAGTAACGCGTCGCAATACAAATTGTCTAGGATGGTAGCTTCGAATTTTATATCGAGTGTACCTATCCTAGCTTCGAATGTGGAGGTGCCACTGGTTGTTGCAGTGTGACCGTCCGCCATCCGGACTGTGTTTGTTGGTCCGTGGGGAGGTGTTTTGCCGTATTTACGGGCTACTGTCGGGTTTACGTACGATTTTTGTGCCTGCGAATCTAATAGAGCTGTCACGAAGCCTGACGGAAATTCGAGCTCGACCGCGGGGGTCGGAATTTTGTCTGGGCGTGTTCGCGTATCATTATTAGTCGTAGTGCAATCGGCCGAGCGGGACAATTGGTTCTTAACCGCGGCGGTAACTGTCTGGTCGTCGGTGTCAACCGCCATGACCATACTGTCAACGTCGGTTGCCTCGTTGCTCGCCTCTTGCTTTACGTGCGCAGACTGACCTAATGCGGGGATAAGCGTGGTGTGTGTGCTTGTATCCCCGTCACCTGTGCAGGTGAACACCCGTGTCTCTGTTGCCTTTGTCCCTACACCTGTGGCTGCCCCATGAGCCGGTTGTTGTTGAACACACGTGTCACCGGTGAGGTGAGTGTGTTCTGTGGTGGGGTGGTGTAGGTTGGGGGTCTGTGAACGGGTGCCGATTGGTGGTGAGACGGAAAAAATTTTCGTAGTTGGTTTTTCTGTGTGTTGAATTTCCGAACTACGCGCTTTTCGATTACGTGTTTTTTTTCCGTGTGTACTACCGATAGTGGTTGGTGATGGGTGGGGGGGTGGTGTTGAGTCGATGGGGGGGACTAGTCCCCGTCGACTCCCCCGCCGTTTCCCGACGTGGTCGGTTTGTGTGGGCACTTACTGTTCCAGTGGAGTTCCCCACAATACCTGCACGGCCCCGGTGGGTGATCATCTGTTGTTTTTTTATCATTTTTAATCGTTCATTAAGGTAACCCCAAACAAAAAAATCCATAGGAGACCTTGGAGGCCATGGAATTGTGCCTCCTCTACCGATCCAACAAGTAAATGTTTCGTCCAAGTGCTGTCTCACTGCTCTAGAGAAATGTGGTGGGGCCCCATCATGTTGGTAAATCATGCGTCTTCTGACTTCTAAAGGTAAGTCCTCAAGCAATCCAGGTAGTTCATTTTGAAGAAAATTTAGATATGAATTTCCACCTACCGTCCGAGGAAGTCCTAAAAATGGACCAATTAACACGCCACCGATAATGCCCATCCACACATTGATTGAAAATCTGCGTTGGAATCTTTGTTGACGTACTAAGCGTGGATTTTCCTGAGCATAGTGATGACTGTTATGAACGTTAAATACGCCTTCTCTTGTAAATGTACTCTCATCTGTCCACATAATACTTTGGAAAAAATCACGATCCTCAACTTCATTATGAAGTAGCCATCTACAGAACTGTACACGTTGTTGATGGTCTGCGTTCTCTAAGCCATGAACTCTTAAAAAATGGTATGGATGTAAGCCTTCTCTATTAATAGTTCACCATACAGTAGAATGATGAACTCCAAATAGACGAGTACTAGTTTCTGGATCTCTGTTGACTTCGTCCAAGATTTCTCTCTCCAAATCTACATTTTGTACACCTTCCCTCAAATACCGTCGAAAAGTACCTCGCTCCCTCAAAGCTTGGTGGATTCTGCTGAACATGGCTGGGGCAGGAACGCGCCGATGTGGAAAACGATTTTCGTACTCTCTTTGAGAGGCTCGAGTATTCCCATTACACAAACCATAAATAAAATGCATGTCTGCAAGTTCGGTATTTGAATAAGAAGGCATGACGAATAATACAAACTCAACACATGAACTTCTTGTAATGAGCCGTATTTAAATCATGTTATCGATTTCACGACTAATTAAGATTCTAAAAATTACTACGAAAAATTAAAATAACTACGTATTGAAATCAAATAACTAGAATTGTTATCCAGAACTTTAAATAAAGGTACTAAATGACTATTTAATGACTTAATCGACCTCACCATAGTACAATTAAGATAATAATAATTACTACGAAAATAAATAGCGATAATTGTTAATCGGCCGATTTAAGTAAAAACATACTAAAGCGTCGTAATCAGTTGTTTATTTTCCGCACATTAGGTGGAATAGCGGCCCTTCAGAAAGGTTTAACGAAAAAATCGAGTACACTGTTGAAAAGCTTATAACATTTTGAAGTTTTTTTGAAATTTGCACCCACCTGCCTTAAAAAAAATTGATGCTGGATAAAACTGAAATTTTTTAAAATTTCGTAATTTTAAAGTTATAAAAAATGAGTGTTATTTTTTTTACCCAAAAAATCATGTGGGAATCTTGTAAGATATGCCTTCCTAATCCCAAATTTATGAACTTTTCATCGATGTATTCAAATTAATTGTAGTACCTGCGGTTTAGCAGATATGAACATTAGTATGAATCAAACTTGCCTTTAACAAAAAAACACAAACATGGAAATTATCACCCTTATTATTGATAATTCGACTATGGTCACAAGGACTTTTTTTGTTCCATTTGAGGTGTTTGAAGTTTGAAAATAAAAAAAAATAAAAAAAACTCTAGAAGTTTGACACATTTATCGTGCAACACCGTGTATAAAAGGTAGGCAGGTGGTACGTTCGACGTTCGAACCTTTTATATATAAAAGGTAGGCAGGTGTTACATACTTGTTATACTATCTTTCTTATGTTATTACTTACCATAGATTTTAACAATTTGAAACATTTTTTTGTGTTCACGGACAACAGAAAAATTAATTTTGTTCTTTTTGAAAAAATCATAACTGTCGGTTTGAATGCGAATTAAAGAATGACTAAAAATATGGATCACAGGTAAAAACCGTTAATTCGGATTTGAAGGTGAAACAGAGGATGATGCATCGATGATTAATAGAAAATGGTGAAAATATAAGGGATGTAGGAACTCCCTGGAAACATGCATCGATAACTATAGAGGCTTTCCCCGAATTAAGGTCCCCACACACTACAGCGGCGGCTAGATCTGCCTGCAATCACCTGGTATTCGGACTCTCTGCGGTAATCATTTGAACGGTAACCAGTTCAAATGTTATCCCTAAAAACTTATTCACAGGATAGCAGACTACCTACCCTTTACAGGGACGTAGTGTTTGTAGCTGTAGGACCGTCGGTTATTATTTAATACATTTTCAAAATATTAGTTTAGCATACGGTCGGGATAACATTTGCACTGGTTAGCGATGAGGGGATGTTTACCGCAGAAAGTCCGTGAAACTTTTACAGATCGTAGCAAGTACTTACGAGAACCAACGACGCAGTCCCCTAGGGATTTAGTAAGGAGATGGGATAGTACTACATATATAGGAGCCCTGGGAGAGTCCCATTATTCAGAAGTGATCTAGCTACCGTACGTATGCACTCCTGTACCTGGTAATCACCATTTTCTCTTTTGGACCTAGATTATTTTCGTTAACGCCCTATTACGGACTTCGATAATATTCAAGCAATCGTTTATCATCTAAGGCACGTCATCTAAGGTATACGACAGTGTCAATTATATGTATTTGATAACATTTCAAATAAGAGAAATAAATCGATAACGATCAAAGTGGGAAATTATCTACCCATTGCCCACAGGCGATACACTTTTTTTCCCTCCAATAAATTTCCTATCAAAATTTTTATTTGTTTTAATTTTAATAAATAAGCAGCTTAACTTACAAAGTCTTTGGTGATATTAATTTAAAGATAACATTTTAGCGCGTTTTTCTGTGTTATCTTCCGTTTTATTTGAAATGTATTTGCTGTGTTATCAATTTATAAAAAAAATTGAATATTATTTTCAAATATGTAGTTGTGGTTTTGAACTTAGAAAAAATACTTTCAAACTTCACTAACAATCTTGAAGTAAGTATATTCTGAATCGTTATTTCATACTCTTTTGATAAATATACACTTTTGGGGCCAAAAATGATCCACTTACAAAATATTTACGTATAATTATCAATTTTTTTCCCAGATACTATCAGAATATGAGATTCTAGAAGAGTTGAATGCTATTACCGATGATGTGGCATTCGATTCGGAAGACGGTGGAGATTCTGATGCAGAAGACTGTACCACCAATGCAAATAACTCTCTAAGTCAACCAGTATGGCATTTATCTACCAGATCATCAGGTAAATAAACCAAATAATTATTTTTTTAATTTCTTATTATATTTAATCAAAAGTTTTTTTTACATACAGGTTCTAGTATGGCTGAAGCTGAAGTGCAGGTGCCTAATGTATCAAATATTGAACAAACAAATAGTAACATTCCTTCTACTTCTCAAGGTATATTTCAATTTATAATTGTTCAATATTTTGAATTAGATTTTTGTTTGTATTTGTTGTATATATTATAAAAAATAAAAATAATTTGGTACAAAAATATTGTATTATACTATTTAGTATATTATATGTACCTAGAACCTATATAACATTATTTATTATTTTACTAAAATAAATTTGTACCTACCTATATTTATGTAAATGTATGGAATATGTTATTGCAATAACTAATGTATTGTACTGTAAAAATAAAACTATGATGAAAACATTAATATAGTTGGTACCAATAGTTATATATAATCTTTAACATAATTAAAATTACTATTAATTAAATCTAATTATATCAAGTAGTATTCTAATTAATTATTATAGTTGTTGGTAAAATATATTGATAGATAATTATATTTTGTCAGATATACATAATGATTTGGAGTTGCTAGAAGATATTATGTCCAGCTCAGATGAGGAAATGGATGACAGTGATAAAGATAAAGATTATGTACCAACTCAGCAACAGCAACTACTTATAGATTTAGATAAAGTTAATGACTTACCTATTGATGTAAATATATTTCTAAATAATGATGATCTTGAAAACGAACTCATAAATGTAGAAGCAGACAATGTTTCAAATCAAAATATAAGTGGTGAAAACGAACTCATAAATTTAGACGTAGACAATGTTTCAAATCCAAATATGAGTGGTGAATTTAATTTTGTAAAGTCAGGATTTCCTCCAAAAAAATTTTAAAAAGTTAGATTTAGAGAAGAACAAGGTCCAGTAGACAAAAACATTTATAAAATGCCGCCAATAGAAATATTTCAATTGATGATTGGTCCTATATTTCAAACTATTGTCCAACAAACAAATTTATATGCTCAGCAAAAAAATGTTAATATCAACACAAGCATTGAAGAAATAAAAGCATTTATTAGAATTTTAATTTTTATGGGTTACCATAGCTTACCTAGCATCAGGTTATATTGGTCAAATGATCCTAATTTTTTTTGTGAACGTGTGGCCAAAATCATGCCTGTAAAAAGGTTTTTGAAAATTCTAAGGTTAATTCATCTTAATGATAATTCCCAAATGCCATCAAGAAATTCTTTGGATTTTGATAAATTATATAAAATTCGTCCTATGATAACGCATTTGAAAGATATTTATCAATCTGTATATCGCCCATCAAGATACTTGGCAGTCGATGAAAGCATGGTAGCATATAAGGGACGTTCCACTATGAAACAATATATGCCCATGAAACCTATTAAAAGGGGTTTCAAAATATGGGCATTGGCTGATTCTTATAGTGGTTTTTTACTGAATCTTGATATATACACTGGAAAAAAATCAAATGGAATACCTGAGTATGGACTAGGAGAAAACGTTGTGTTATACTTGACCAAAAAATCTAAAAACTTATTTTACTGTGTTTTTTTTGATAATTTTTTTACCAGTATACCTCTAATTTTTAAACTTTTGTGTGATGGTATATTTGCATGTGGAACATTTAGAGTAAACAAAAAGTATTATCCTAAACACCTTATGAAAAATGATGGTAAATATACTTCTGGTGACATTGAATATGCCCAAAGTGAAGATATTGGTATTATGCGATGGAAGGATAGAGGAAGTAAACCAGTGACACTTGTTAGCAACATGCATAACTCTTCAGATACATCTACAGTACTGAGAAAAAATGGTAAAGGGGAAAGGATTCAAGTAAAGTGCCCTACTGGAATATCAGAATATAATAAATACATGGGAGGCGTTGACAAATTTGATCAATATATGTCTCCATACTCAATTTCTCAAAAGTCGAGGAAGTGGTGGATTACACTTTTTTATTATATGGTTGATAATGCTATTGTTAATTCTTATATTTTATATAAAGAAAGTTGCAACAAGAATAAAAAAAAGTACATTACACATTTAGAGTTTCGATCGAGATTAACGGATGAGCTTATTGGGAATTTCTCATGCCGGAAAAAGAATACATCTTCCCCCCACGAACAAAGATATAAAAAAAAACAAAAACTTTCCATCGCTCATGATTTTACAGGTGTTGATCATATGCCAAAATTCATAGATAAATATAGAAGATGCAAAATGTGTAGCACTAAAGCAAAAGAAAAAAGATCCAATATGATTTGTTCTACATGCGACATAACACTATGCAAACAATGTTTTGTACCATATAACAAACCTACCTAAAATTGTTTATCCCTATTTCATTACTTTTATTATTTATATGGAAAATTCCAGAAGTTTATTGTTTTATTTTACTAGAAATGTATCAGGTTGTTGATTTTTATTTTAAAGATATATAATAATTATTATTTATTTTTTATCAATTTTAGTTTTACTAAGTATAAGTTCAATTGTTTTTTTTTATTATTATTTATGAATTAAATACATTTCACAGGGATGTGCATTACAGAAATGTTGTGTTTTTAATGTTTTATAACATATTTTTTTACTTTTTTTATTTTTATTATATTTAGGTATATTAGTTTGAATGAGGCTTGTATATTTTTCTAAGTAACCGCATAAGTGGGAAATATATTACCATTGCCCGTTCAGTAAATCCCACGGTCGTAAAGGTGCAAAGGGAAACTATTTTCCCACCACTTTTCCAATCATGCAAAACAAATTAAAAATTTTCCAATATTTTTCCCAAAATCAGAGTACTCCATACTGAATGTATACCAATTTTCAGAACAATCTGGTGATTTTTTTTGTTCTGCCCTATAAAGGGCTAAGGCACGGGTATTCTTCATTAATTCGAATAATCTAACAGTATGAATTCAACTGTCTTTTTACAATTTTAATAAATAACACATCGAACTACAAATTGTTGATCATTTGACGCTTCTATCATCATCCTATTGTAGTGATCCCTCACTAACGCTTATATTTTTGAGTTCAAAGACGTTGACGGTTGAATAGGAGAAAAGGTTGCAGAGGCAAGTTACACAAGTTAGGTATAAGTAGTTTTATTAACGTTTTAAAAAGTAAATGATCACAATTAAGTGTAATATAAATTTGAGGACAGAGCGAAAAGCATCTGCCCGAGAAGTTAGTTACGTACAGTATGTACGTAGTGCAAACTCTAAACTAATTCTAATTTTGCTATAGACATCATCTTATATTTATATGAAATCTATGCGGATATAAACGTACACGGTAGAGTCAAGGAGATGGATATCTGAAAGGAGCCGGAGCTAGATGCTGTTATTGCCAAAAGACCTGAACTATAACAATTTAATAGTTCGTTTCTGCGAAAACCTATTAATGCTTTTAATGTTAATGCTTTCGCATTACTTTGGCCCTGCGAAGATGAGTACATTTATAGTCTTATTCCACGTAAAACTATTAAAACTTTAATAGTTTTGTTTTCGCATCATTTTGGCCATGCGAAGATTGAGTGCCTTTATAGGTTTGTTTTTGCATTATTTTGGTAAAGCGAAGATTCGTACATTAATCGTTGAGTGCGCTGCCAAACCCAAGGTATTGAAAAAAGATTAATAGTCTTGTTGTTGTCCAGCGTGCCACATCGTGAGAATGTAATTATAATATTTAATATATATAGGAAAGCGACTCTGTCGGCTTACTACACTATCCTGTCACCATCTCCTGTAAGACGGGTGCACGTAACAAGGTATATTAGGACCAAGGTTCAGAATAAATTAAATGATACTTACTTTAGTAAAATTATTTCAGGAGTAATGAGTGAAGTTGTTAAATTGGTTATGCAATATTGTCTTGAGAAAAAATAATCAATATTTCTTATGAAGTAGTTTTGTGTTTGGTGAGAACAAATAGTTTTTTTTCAAATGTATCTGCCTACCTACCATAATAATAATTGTTGTGGAGCTCGCCTGTTTGGGTCTCAAGTCTTAATAGATTTGTATATTTCAATATTTGTTTAGAAACGAAATAGAATAAATTTGATCTGGTACACATTTGTTTTATGACACCTGAGTCATCAGTTATGGCGGATCATTGTGCTTTTTTTTTTGTACATAAATGCATATTATATTTATTATAAACGTTGTAATGTTTCTATAGATTATTTACATTTGTATTTGTATTTATCTAGCCTCCAAATAAAAGGTACAGATACAAATTAAAAAGTAAGTCTTATTAATATCATTTTGAACCAAGTAATTTTTGGCAACAAGCTATTTTTCTTATCACCGAATATCATAACTTATAACGAGTTGATAAGATAATAAAATGTCGACAAATTTGAGGTTTTTTTCAATTTGAAATATTTTTATTATTTTTATTCGTTATAGAAATTAAGAAATATTTTATAGGTACCTGTAAAATTGGGTAAAAATAATTATAATTTGATACTTGGGTACTTGTTACAAATATTTTATTATATTTTTATGAAGCAAATATTCGTTATATTCGTTGATTATGTGATCTAAATTTTGTTTGTCTACTGAGACCGTTTGATTGAAACGTCCTTTAGATGCTCCTGCATACTGCGTTTATAGGAACACGGCGACCGGTCGGCAAAATCCGATCGTCTGTTTGAACCCTCATATTATAGTTACGAATACGCAAAATGTACGTAAAACGCTATAACTAAGTCAAATAGTCAAATATCTACGTAACCATGACTAAATAAACAGGTATTTTAGTTGAAATTTCATTTTCGCTATCGTTGCGCATGTTCCCCAGACATAAACGATATCAGATACATGGAGTGGAAAGTAATACACAATGATATTATCAATTATTACCTATTCAAAATTTCATAATTATAATATACTATTATAACACTTATTAATTAATTATATTTTATATTTTAATTTTTTATAATCAGTTAGTATTTATTATTTAGTATGATAATTAGTTATAGAATAAACTGTTTTAGGTATATAAAAATGATAATCCAATCCTCAATAGTCAATAGTTTTATTAATTTCATTTTTCATTCTGTAAATTTTTTAAATTTTTTGTTATTGTAATAAACTGTTTTTTTTTGTTCTTTTTTATTTAATTCTCGCAGACGAATATACAAGCGAGTACGAATAAGGCATTCAATCACTTCAGGAGGAATGCAGTCTTTTGGAATTTTATTGTTTACCATGTTTTTTTTTTTTTTTTTTTGTCATATTTGTTTTTATTTGTACAATCAGTATAAAAAAAAATATTTACAATAAGTACAATGAAGATAATGATAATATATTGGTAATTGGACATGGTTGACTTGTTGAAGAGACTATTCATTAATAGCACTTCATGGCAGGATGGTGGACTAGTCAACTAGTCGACTAGTAGGTCACGGCACCAGCTACGCTTTAAACGTCGGCCAGGGTCGCCCGGGATTGTTCGGCAAGATAGGTTTTGGATGAGAGGGTTTCGGTGATTTGAAAGTTTAAGGTGGAAACGTTTATATAGGGTTTTGGCGACGTTTTTTACTGTCGGAATGAGGAGGTCCCTGTGGAGGGTATCATTTGTAACATAAAAAGGGGCTTTAGTTATCTGCCTGAGGCATTTGGATTGAAATGTTTGGATTCGGTTTATATTGGAGTCTTTGGCTGAACCCCAGAGTTGGATTCCGTAGGTTTACCATGTTAAACAATTTTTTTACTATTCCAGTCTGTGTACCAAAACCTTCATCACATACTGAAATACACTTTCAAGTATCTTGGCCACATTGATCAACTCTTGTCATGGGCGTGTAAGATGTCCTATAACCATTGAATATACTTAAATTATGAATTTTCCTGAATTGGCTGATATTTATAATTCAACATTTAACTACCTTTTGAAATGTATGATATCAGAGGCGTACCCAGGATTTTTTTATGGGGGGGTCCAAAATTTTTATTTTATCTGTTCTCTAATTATAATTATAGTTTAATTCATTACCAACATATTACTGTTAATAACTATAATATAGTTACAATAGTCAATAGTTATACACACACTCACAGCACATATTATACAGAAAGGTTTATAACAATAGGTAGGTACTATAATTTGTAAATGTAAATGTAGATATCTCAATGGGGGGGGGGGTCCGGACCCGAAAACCCCCCCCTTGGGTACGCCCCTGTATGATATACTATCATCTTTTTTTTCTACAGGACATTCGGTCTCATCTTCCAAATATGGATACTTTGATTTGTACTTTCTTGCAACTAATCCCGCTATGTATTTCAAGTTTTCTTCAGTTGAATCATTGAAATTATGGTTAAATAATTCCACGGCACTTAACTAAAAATCAAATATATAAAATATGATATTATTTAGTAAATAGGTAATCAATGGCTTTTTAACACTCTTACCTCTAACTCAAATGATCATCAATTGTTAAATTGTTATTATAATCTTCTTTGCCAAATACTCTGGAATCTTCAATAACAGCAGCAGTCAGTATACACTCATCTACTTCAACCATATCACTTAAACTCAACAAACTATTTTCATTAGCACTTTCTTCTGTGTTGCGGTTAGTTGTGAATACCGATGATGAGTGTTTGCCCAGTATATACCATCTTAATCTTAGTATGCAAAAAATTAATACAACATTATTATTTTTAATTTTGTAACATAGGTACATAATATAAAATCAGAATTAATTAGGTAATAATAAAATTTTTTTATATTACAGATATGAATAGCACACAATAACAGATCAATACTTACAAGTCTATTAATTATTAGTAATTTGTACATAGAATAGAAGTTCAAAATCTAATATAGAACAGCGGTGAATCAATATAAGCTATAAGCATAAGAAAAAGAGAAGAAGATGGTATTTTTATTAACAAACAGATTAATGTACTACTTACCGATACTTAAAGTCTAAAGGATTTGGATGGTCATTCGACCCACCCATTCCTTTTATAAAACTAAAAAAACTCTCTAGTACATCTTGGTTTATACGGCGTGCAATTATATACTGTCCTTTGTAATTTTGTTGCAGGTCATTTAATAATCTTCTTAAGGACAAGTTTGTCATTAAAATACCTTTTTGAATCTGCATTAAGCTTTTTTTCCATGTGCCCGCATTGATAGAATAAATTTATCCATTCTATCCAATAAATTGTATTGTTCTACAATATTCATACCATAGGCCATAGAGTTATCTCAACCATATTTTGGCTGTTGAGCAAGTCAAACCAATCATTGATCAGAAGAATAGTTTCTGTAGCTTTTAAAAATTAAAAGATAATTAAAATAGTTTTAAATTAATTTGTTTACTGTATAATACTTCTTTCCAGTTTGATAGTTGGAATTTGTTATTGAATCCATAATATTCCATAGCTTTTGACACTGTCCTGGAGAAAAGTTGGGCTGCTGTCTTAACTTTTTGTCGCTGTGTACCACTATCAAGTATCAACTAACATTCATATGAAAATCACTAGCTTTAAAGATAAATTTCAAATCATTTTTTTGACCTTTATCTTGGATTTTTAATAGTTCTTCTAATAAAAATTTCCCTATATACTTTTCACATTTGTAAAAAAGAAATTTTAACTTAAATTAAATGTTTTAATATTTTTAATAATTCATACTGTTGTTATTTTTCAGAAGGAAACCATGGTCAAGAAAGTTGTTTCTAATAAGTTTTAACAAATGCGGGGCGTCGGCAAAAACATGAATTCTCCTGTCAGGCATTAGAGGATGATTAAATGAACTATTTGTATAAGAAACATTCATTGACTTCCACAAACCCATGTTTGTTGGACCCATATCACTTGTCACAGATACAACTGTATATCCAATCTTATATAAGTTAGTGATAATCTCTAATAATATGTCACTTGTCATCGGTGTATCATATTTGTAAAAAACAACTTGTTTTAACATGAATTAAAAATACCTCTAGCCATTACTACTTGGACCGTTTTGTGTGGTCCAATAACTTGCTGAGATATTTTATCAAAACAGATATCATGAGATATATAAACTTCATCAAATGATAAACTTCCTAGTTTGTCATTTTCATCCATAGAAATACCTGTAATTTAATAAATATTTTATTGTACGATCGAGTAGTTGTGACGTAGGTACTTAACTTTTTATTATTAATAAGTTAATAACCAATAGGTATTAGATTAGTTTACTTACCTTTAGATTTCATGACACCTGTTAAAACTACTGGTTGAATTGGACATTTTTGGGCCCAATTTTGCAAAGTAGATAGAGCTAAAATAGTTTTAAATTGTGACCATAGTGGCAGTTGTATAAGAAGTATTTCACAAACCTGGTAATGGATACTTCAAAGATTCTCTTAAGTATCTATAAGCCTTTGGTGATATACAGGGCTCGTGACTTAAAGCACTTAAAATCATTAAAATAAGCGCTTAAATAAGCACTTAAAAACATCATTATAAGCACTCAAATAAGCATTTAAAAAACTTAAATTTAAGCAAAAATATTTATTAAAAAAAAAACCGTAAAATAAAAAATAAAACTATCTTTATATTATGCAAACTATGCGTATAATTTATTTATCACTATTTCAGGCAATATTCCAATATGGTTTATTGGTTTGGGGGGGACTGAATCAAAATTCGTCTAGACCACTACAACTATTACAAAAAAAAATTGTTAGGTTATGTTTAAGTAAAAAAAACGTTAACTGGTTCAACTAAAGAAAATTTTTTGTTATTAGATGTGTTACCATTTGAGTCTGTTTATAAGAAAATAATAATTGTATATATTATTAAAAACTTTGAATCATATCTGGATATTAATAAGGTATTAGTTAAAAGAGAAAATAGAGCATTTTATGTTAAAATGGAATATCCTAAAAAAACGTTTGGTTGAAAATGTATTGACATCTAGGTCCAAAAAATTATAACTTAATGCCAATAAAAATAAAAAAGGACATATTCTTTACAGAAGGGAATCGTATAACTACAGGAATGAAAAAAAAAATTCATATTTGGTTATTTTCAATACTTTAATAAATTATAACGAAATATATTTAACTATTTGTAATTTAATACTAGTATAAGTATTCTAATTGTTTGTATTGATTACTAAATTCTTGTCAGATTTTTTTTTATTCTACTTATAATTATGTTATATAACTCTCTACCACCACCACAAGCAGATAATTTTTGTTTTATTTAAAAATAAAAAAAAAATAAAAAATTATAAAAAAAATTAAACTTCATTTTCAGGACTGATTATTTTATGGATTTTCCAAGGGATTTTCTGAAAAATAAAATCTAAACAATATTTTAAATAGTTGAAAAAAAAATTAATTAAATCTTACCGTCATTATTGCATTGAATGATCAAATGTTTTCTGAGGTTTTCAAATACAAATGACCTCCTGTTGTTGGATAATATGGTTTTATGTGCCGAAAATGACCGTTCGACATCTACTGATGTAGTAGGCGAATATTTAAAGTACACAATATCATCGCTGGAGTAGTCATCTGGAAATTCACTTGTCATCTAAATTACTATCATTTTCACCGTCAAGTATTTTTGATATTTTTTCTAAAATCCTTAAGCCATTATTTTTTTCAAAAACTTTTTGCAATTTAGTTAGAACTAGTTTTCTACGATTGCCTTTTAACAAAGAAAATGTCTGTTTCACATTTTCAACCACAGCAAGTGAACCAGACAATGAAACATTTTTTGTTTGCAGTTCTATAATGGCTTTAGTAAGAACTTCAAAATTACTTTTTATATAATATGCCAAATCGGCTTCTAAACCCGATTTTACAATGCACAGTTTTGCTTTTTTAATGCTGTCTGCGTCGTTTTCATCTAGACAACTTACTACGTGACGAATTGTTCTAAAATGTTCGCAATAGTAAATTGCAGCCTCTATCCAAGAGCCTCAACGGGTATTACTTAATAACTGGTTCAGGGGTAGTTATATATCAGGAGCTTCAGATTTAAACATTTCAACACGATAAGGAGCTTTTCGAAATATTTTTTTCATATTAAATATTAGTTCGTCTACTGTTCCAAAATGTCCACGGATTTCTTCAACGATTCTATGAAGTCCATGAGCACAACAAGTTACGTGTATCATTTTTGTATAAATATTTTTCAGAACAGTACCTGCCTTCACCATATTATATGGAGCGGCGTCAAATAAAAATAACAAGACAATATTATACTGTATATCACCAGGCCATATTATTCCCATAGCTTTTTCAAACAGCTTGCAGATAGTTGAATGATTTGCTTTGACTAGTTATTCTGAATGCAGTAAAAACATGCGTCCTGGACAATCGGGTTTTAGAATTCCAACTATAACATTGGCAATAAACCGTCCTTCTACGTCACATGTCTCGTCAATCGACACACAAATTTTATTTTGCCTTATTTCCATTTTCATTTTATCCATAGTAGTATTAAAAATATCATCAATATAACCCTTCCGTAATGTCGCTTCCATAGGAATATGTTTACCAGTATATTTCTCTAAAAATACTCGAAATGTATTGTTAGAAAGCTTATTTAACGGAATGTTAGCAGATACCATTGCTTGACATAAATCCTTGTTGAAATTGGATTTTGCTGAACTTTGATTGGTTAGTAGTTGTTTTAATTTTCTCTGTTCTTGATCATTCTGACGTTTGACACTCTTTTGATGTTTATCGGTTTTCATATGTTGGGATATATTATATTTTTTTTCAAAATTAATTTTTATTTCACACATCTTACAGTATAAAACATGCCCGTCTGTGGAAAAAATGTCAGATCCAAATTCAGAAACGTATCTTTTTAGAGTAGCACAAGTGGATGATTTTTCTTTTCCCATTCTAAATTAATTTAAATACTCGGATACAAACGATGACGAAAAAAACAAACAAGACGTTGAATGTCGAAGTATTCGCACACATACGATGACGAAATAATACGGAAACGAAAGCACACGACGAACGCGAACGACAATCGACTACTAAACTTTGAAACCAAAACATTATTTGTATTTATCACGCCTATAGAACCACGGTCAAATAATATTATTTACCTAGAAATTATATGGTATGATACACATGAACTCAATTATAATAATTTGTTTCAACGAAATCCAATTCTATTTTGAGCGTTGGAATATTTGCAACGATGCAGCGGACGGCGATGGACTACGCGACAACGTAGATAAGATAAGAATTATTTTTAATTTTAATTCTATCAAAAACAACTTTGCAGTAGAAAATCATAAAAAAGTATAAAAACTGGTCAAAAAAGCAATAATTATCAGAAAAACTTGAAATAAGCATTTTTTGAAAAATCACTGAAAAAAGCACTCTCAAATTTCATAATTGAATGTGTTGTGACATGACATACACTTCTATAGCACTCTGCTATATTTTAAGTCAATCTATAAAAATAAACAAATGCTTTAAGTCCCGAGCCCTGGTGATATACTTCTAAGAGAAATTGCTCCTGTAATATCATATATTCCCCATTTTGTTATTTTATTCATTGGATTTAGGAAATAATTTATTTGCGTAAGTGTAAAAATATGAGAAAATAAATTTACAACTTTATCTTTGAAATTCATTTTTAATATTTCATTTTCCTCCTTTACTGCAGCTAAGCATTTTTAGTTTCCTCAAGTTCTTGTTCAATACTAAAATAAATGTTTTGAATTATAAATAAGAATTCCATTAAATATAGACAAGTATATAATACAGTAAAAGACACAATGTCATATTAGAACTTGGAACACAAACATAAATCTACATTAAATTCATTTTGATGTTACCTTTTCCTATTATCAATTATATTTATGGATTCATTTGACTTAAAATTGTCCATGAGAGATCTGCTAATTTTGTTCTTTCTCGTCTCTATATCAACATGTACCTAAATTAAAGATAAATATGTATACATGAATATATTTGCATGTTTATGCATATAATGGTATAAATGTCTACCTCTAACGTATCTTCAGGTTCATGGTCACTAATAGTAGACAATCCTATCTCTGACATATCTTCAGGTTCATTTACCGCAACACTTTCATCATCCTGACTATGTACAGTTTTCTATAATATTGTATATCATATAGTTATAAAATAAATATGACAATAAATAATATTAAACCCCTTTAAAATACTTGCCTTGCTTGGAGTTAAATATTTAGTTGGTACAGCACTCGGCTTAAGTTTTCCTTTATAACTGGGTGAATACTTAAAACAACCCAACTTTGTTTGTAACTTACTAGGAGTGAAGTGTTTTGAACATATCCGCTCTATAATATTTATACTTCATTATAATACAAAATAAGCGAAGACAAAACAAATTGTAAAATATTTCTTTTCTTTGATGTTATATTGTATTATTGTTTGAAAACTTATATTATTACCGCATTGCTGTATTGTTGTGTGTTATCTTACAAATAATTAATTTAATATTATACCTACCATATTTTATTTGACCATCTTCCTTGCCACAAGCATCTAAACACTTTTTCCTTACTTTAAGAGATTTGTATAACCTGTAATAACTTATGTCCTTACTAGGTCTTCTGCATGAGTTATTTGGACAACTTGGTAAAATACAGTTTGGAATTTTTAATAAGATTTGGTTTCAAAAGACAAAAATAAAACAAACTATACATCATAAAAATTCAAGTTTTTATTGTTCATCGTACAAAAGACAACATAAAATGTACAGGATAATATTAAGTACAAAACAAAGTATAAACAAATTTAATATCATTAAAGTTATAAATAAACCATTACCCAGATACATACCCATAATTACATAGATTTATTAGAGTGGCCAATTATGAAATACAAAAATTAATATTTTAAAAATGTATAAGTTTTGTACAATTCAAAATACATTGGGATTTCATTCTTCCATGCATTTTAGCGTTTACTCCAAATCCGGGGAACATTTCATGCGCAGTGTTATCGGGCTGACATGCCTGTTTATCTAGTCATGTACGTAACCTTATGAAAATCTGGCAACATTGCACTAAAATCTTAAGTACAAAACTTACGGAATTGTGCACGATTCCGTACGCTGATAAGGACCATACGGAATAGTGATCTACCCACTCACTATCTCTCTCTCTATTTCTCTAGATATACTTTAGTAGTGTCGATCTGACTCCTTATTGGTCAAATAACCCGGTAAATTTCAATGGGTCCAAAACACATAAACTTAAAAAACAATTTAACCGCCTTTTAATACAAAAATATAAAGAATAATTTATTACTTTTAAATTATTTGTTTTTATAATACTTTATTTATTTATTATTATATAACGGGCACAAGGCCCAAAAGTGCAATATTACATTTTGCATACATTTAAATAATCTAATACATGGTAAGTGGTAACAGAAAGTAATTACAAATATCGGTTAAACTAACTTAAATAATACAGCATTTTGACGACATAAAGTAATTATTAACAAAACACATAATGAATTCAGTATTATAAACTGAATAAGGTAGGGTGCTCATTGGTCAAACGCATCATTCGATCAATCGGGTTGTTAAGTACAAATTCGTTTTTCTTAGATTTTCTAGTCTTACTGGTTTTGCATTTTATATAGGTACTTTTCCAACTGCACTTCTAACAGCTCATCTATAAATACATAAATATTCGGGTGCCCAGTGCCCACTATAAAAACAACTGTTCGGTTTCGAATGAAAACTGTCACAACTATTCGTAGTTCTGTTTAATGTAGTGGAGAATTAAGCCCATATACTTGGTGGAAAACATGCTTCGGGGGAAATATAATTATAAAATACGTAGGTAGTCCATAAACTCTACAATTCTTTCGTTATCTGTTGGACGAATTGCCGTCAACACACACACACACAGGTGACGGGTAATGATTTTTTTTTTGTTTCGTAAATTCGCGTGGACTTGACAGTCGAATTCTTTACCTACATCCTTGGTATACCTACAACAATAGGGAATCAACTCGTACATAAAGTAGGTCTCAGGAATCAACTCACCTACTGCGAACAATATTATATTGCACGATTCATTTGACTTATGACACTCATTATTACATTTTTTTAAAAATATTTTTTTACATGGTTTCAAATTGTTACAAAACAATATTTGTTATCTATATAATTTTTTAAGTGTCTTCCTTTTTTGAATTATAGCATATAGTTTTCAATTCATCTTCGAAGCAGAATATTTTCCTGAGTATTTCGATACCTACATAAAAATCAAATTTACGATGAATAGTCATATGAGTTATAAATATTTTAAGTTGAAAGTACCTAGTGTCACAATATTTTTAGGGGTAATCGCATACAACTCCACTTGGCTCATCTAAACGGTGAATGGTACCTGTCATAAGCTACTCGTCCTAAATTAAATTTTATACTTAGAAAAATATTCCTTTTTCGAATATGAAATTAAAGCTGCACTGAAAAAAAAGTCGTACGTTATATGAATAAACTTGTCGTTGTTGACTATAATCTTTGACACAACGTACTTTTTTTAATTATTCAATAAAATATTGTTCATCGACTTATATTAATTACTAATATTATTAGTCAATATTATAAACTTGTGTTTATTAGCTCAATAACTGGTCTTTATAAATCCCTTGTGAATTTTTTTTTAATATAATAATTTGTTTTGTTAGAACAAACAATAGTTTTTTTTTAATCTTAAAGCCAGTTAAATTGTTACACCAACGTAAAGATTTATTATAATAACCACAACTTTTTTCTTACCGTGTTTTTAAAACTATAAAGACGACTATTTACTTATTGTTGTATTAAACATCAATTTTCATTAATATGATGATTAGGTTAATAAGTATAATAAATTATAGATCTTTACATTGATAAATTATTTTTGTGGATATTTGTAATTTCTCATTCATTAATAATAAGAACTTATTTATAGAAATGATAATCTGGGTGATAAAATGAATGATTGAGTTTATGTCAACAACAATATTTGTAATTATAAACAAAATAGTGGTTATCGATTTTTATTTACATTTCACACATAATGACCATTGGCCGTCACTAATCTCATGTTTTCCGTTACATAAGCTTCGAAAACGTGTTTGATGATATTTTGTTTACTTCTGTAGCGGCTCGTCGGGTGAATCAAGTGAGGCACAGCCTCCCCTGAAGTTTATTAATCTAATAATTTATTATCAGAATCATCTAATTTTATAATTATCTTTAAAAATATTAAAATTAATTTTATACAAAATATAATTTATAATTTTAAATTGTAAAAAACAAAAGTCGATGGTAAAAAAATGATAACATGTTCCTTAGGCTGCCAGGGATCATGGCAATACGACACAATGCATCGATTACCCCGCGGACCGCGGTCACGGCCTAAGAGGAGCCGTGGAGTGACGACAAGAAAATAATATTACGAATACTCGGTGGCGTTGACGAAGCGAACCGACAAGGTCCGAGAGGCAAAAATGTTAACACTTCAGTTGCTATATTGAAATTAGGTGGTGGAGGTGAGTTGGAAACATATGATACATTGAGGCTGATATAAATTAGCCTCAGTAGTATTAATCGTTCTGTTTAATCTAAACGACAAAACTTCACATAGATAATATTTTAATGAAATAATAAGAATATATAATATGTCCTTATATTCCACAAGTCATTACTTACCCCACTATTTTCATAGATAAAGTAAAGGTTTACCACTTATCAGTCAATATTCATTTAAATGAACAATTAATATAACAATTTTTGAATTTTGTATTAAATAATCTCCTATAATATTACAATTTACAACATAATAGTCGGAATCGTTATACATTATTCGCTAAATTCGTTTTTTATATTATAGTTTGTAGTAAGATATAACTAATCAAAAGCCGCAGTAAAACATTGAATATATTTCCGTTCAACGATGCAATTATGTCATTAATTAAAACTATATTTTCCCGTCGAAGTGAAATTAAAAAAAAAACAAATTTTGTTTGCTGGTCGTCCTACAGATGAATTAGAAAACATCTGTTTACCCACTGATAAAACTAAAACTAAAGTAAGTTCCCGGTCTTTCAATATTTGTATAGGCAGCGACTGTTTTGCTGGCCTTGTGTCTTACTTGGTAAAGTTAAAAATGTTTGGATAACTGATGGCTATTATGATTTAAAAAATCTGGCTAGAAGTGTTAAAATGCATGAAGCATCTAAAGATCATATTCATAAATTTATGGAATTAGTTCGTTTAGAAAAAAACAGAACTACTATTGCTGATGCGTTACATAAATGTGCTCGTTTAAACAAAACTATTTATAATGAAAATGTAAGAAAAAATAGATTAATTTTGTTGTAATTAATAGAAGTAACACTACTCTTGGGGAAACAAGAGTTGGCATTTATAGGCCATGATGAGAGATCTACTTCCTCAAACCAGGATAATTTCCGTGAAGTATTTAATTTACTTATTAAACGGAATGATGAATTACTATTACATTACAATAAATTTAGTAATGTTTTCACCGGACAATCAAAAACAATCCAAAATGAGATCATTCATTGTGTGTATGAGTACGTACTAGATGTGATCAAATCAGAAACTAATGATGTTTCTTTGTTTTCTGTTATATCAGATGACACTACTGATATTGTTGAAAAGTCACAATGTGCAATAACTCTAAGATATGTTAAAAAAAAAATTGGTGAATTAAAAGAAAGTTTTTTAGGCTTCCATGATGTGAGTTGTAGTAAGAATGGTAAAGCTCTTTTTAGTTTACTAACAACAATACTAGATCATTTTAATTTTAAAACAAAGTTGATAGCTCAGTGTTATGATGGAGCAAGTGTTATGGCTGGGCATGTTAACGGACTTCAACAACTAATTAGAAATGAAGCACCACACGCTCCAGAATATTTTTTTCCGCACTTTTAGGAATATCTGTTTTTTTTTTTAAAGTCTCCTTAACGTACATTTGTTTTAGATACTATTATTTTTAAACGTATCCCGGTTGTTAATGAAACTCGTTGGTGTACTCGTTCAAAAATATTAAACTTTGTTGCTTTGAACTTAAATAAGTTAATTTAAGTAATGCAAAATATAATGGATAATCCTGAGTCGGGTATAGAATCAATAAATGGTGCAAAAGGTTTTATAAACAGTCTGAAAAAATTTGATTTTGTTTTTTTTATGGTTGTATTTAAAGAAATATTTAATATAACTGATACCTTGTATGCAATTTTACAAGTCAAGCACTTAAATGTAGTACACTGTATAGATCAAGTAAACACATCTATAATTAGAATTACATTTTTAAGAAGTTTTGAAAGTGCAACATTTCTGTTTAATGGAGCTAAAAAATCACTAGTCCAAAACAGCCTCGGGGAGTAGTTGAAGCAGATCTCTTAAATAAATATAGTGTATTGCAATATGAAATACTGAATAATATAGTCACTCAACTCACTGATCCTTTTCAAGATTTAGGTAAGCTCAAATTTGTAACATGAGTCGATTCTTCAAAATTAAAATCCTATCAAACTGCCTTTCCTAATGAAGGACTTGAATGTTTATCTTCCACTTATAAGGATGTATTTGATTTAGCATTATTAAAAAATGAATTATCAGTTGTTTATTTTGATTGTTTAACATGTGTTAAATTACTAAAAGAATTTCAAGATTCAGGACTATTAATGGAAGTATATAAATTATTTTGCTTAATTTTGACCATACCTTCTACAAGTGTATCCGTAGAAAGAAATTTCTCTTGTCTTAAACGTATTAAAACGTATTTAAGAAATTCCATGACAGAAGAAAGATTGTCTTCATTGGCTAAAATTTCTATAGAAAAGGAAATGATTATTTTTTTGTTGATTAATGATGGACAGTTTTATGAGAAAATTATTGACAGATTTTCATTATTGAAAGATAGAAAAATAGTTTTTATTTATAAAAAGTAAATTAGTAATCACTCATATAATTTTGTATTATAAAAAAAAACGAACTAGCTACATGCTATTTACTTTTTGTTTGTTTAATTTTGTAGTTTCTTAATTTAAAAAAATATAATTAATAATATAGTGTTTGTTTTTGTTTTTATTATAATAGGAGTTTTTTAGTTTTATACTATTTATAGATAAAAGTTGAGAAATTAAATAAATGTTTAATTTTTTTGTTTTTCTTATATTATCTGTTACATTATTAAATATATTATATTTTATTAAGGAAGTGTATAATACAATATAGTATTATACAAGCAACCAAAAAAATAAACCTATTTTCGCATTTTCAAATAAATACGCCACGGCGTACTTGCCAACGAAAATGATGAAACCGAAAATTCCGATGAAATTCTCATTGATATCCACTCCGACACCGAAGCCGAACAAAAAGTCAAACCTCCTCCACCCATCTTTATAAGTGGAATTTTGGATTTTTCTGCATTTCGTTCACGATTAATAGTATTAATCGGTGCTGACAGTTTCTTTGTTAAATCAAATGTCAACAACTTAAAAATTCAAACCAACAACGCCGACTCATACAGAGCAACCATCCATTTTCTAAAAGAGAGTCAGACCGAATATCACACATATCAAGCTCAAGATGAAAAACCTTTCCGCGTAGTAATTCGAAACATCCACCCATCAACTTCATTAGCGGGAATAGGCATAGCAATAAATGAAATTGGACCTTTCACAGTCCGTAATGGATCCAACGTCTTAAATAAAACCATTAAAAATAAACTGCCAATTTTCTTTATTGACTTGGAACCTGCGGAAAAAAACAAAGAAATTTTCCATATCACCTCTTTATTAAATACAAAAATAAAAATTGAAGAGCAGTACAAAAGACGTATCATTATACAATGTACAAACTGCCAGGAGTACGGTCACTCCAAATCATACTGTGCCCACCCTCCAAAATGCGTCAAATGTGCTGCCAATCATTCTACTTCCACCTGCACAAAATCCAAAGACGACCCACCAGCCTGCGCCCTTTGTGGAGGTTATCACACAGCTAACTACCGTGGCTGCCAAGTCCACGAAAACCTCCAAAGTTTCCAATACGGTAAAAATACTACAAATAAAAAATATAATTTAAGAAATGATGTTAAATATAATTCTATTGTAAAAAAGGGGGAGGACTCTGGTGTCAAAACCAACCTTAACCCTCCCAACATAAATGACACCTCATCTTTTCCAAATCCGTCCTCATAGTCTCGCCATCCTAAAACACCTAAACATACTCTCCCAAATGATACTGCAAATCAATCTAAATCTAACTTAGCTACACAACTTTCATCTTTCATTTCTGAATTTAAATTAATAATAAATCCCCTCATATAGCTACTTACAACTGTAATAAGTAAACTTATAATCAATGTCAACTATTTAAACCCCATCCATAGGCTCAAAAGAAAATATTGCAGAGATTTGTTAATCTAAAATAAACTCACATTGGGGGTTCCATCACTGGTTGGCCTCCCTCTTCAAATTATTCAAGTTAAATATCTACATAAATTATCTAATTTACCTATTGTGATGTAAAACACAGATTGTAAATATCATTATTTTTAATAAAAAAAAAAAAAATTTATACAAAACCACTGTAAGTGTCTTTGCTTTAATTGTCGTCAGTTGTGGGATAATATTATAATATAGCCGTATAGATATTATAGGTAATTATACCAATATTATACTGATCATAGGTAGGTGTGTAGTGTGTTACAAAAAAGTACTTAGCTAAACTTTTACAACTTTTACTTTATAGACCGGTAGTACCCTGGTCTTAGCAATAAAATATTTAAGCCTTCCCCACCTGAAAAAAATCCCTGCACTATCTATTGCCATTTACTAATTAATATCTTCCTCACCACTTATCAGACCCACGAGCCGCCACTGTCAAATTCCCTCCTCAGAATCAACAACTTTTTATAAAAATAGTCTTTTCTCCTACAAAACAAAAATGTATATATTAACTAACCACTTTCTAATCAATGCATTTCCTCAAAATTTAAAATGCACTTCTCACTACTTCTCTACTTCACCCCCAGTAATCCCTCCAATGCCAAAACCAATAACAGTGATACAGAGCACACCGGAGCTTTTGAAACAAAAATGCACTACATTTTATAAAAGGTCCTTATGTAATTCAATTAATGTAATTGACATTTTTTTTCTCCAAATGAGAATGTAAAGTAATTTTATGTTTTTCAGATCCATCAGAACAGATGTCTTGGACATTTTTAATAAGATCTAAGCAAATTATGTTAAATAATTATGAATTATATTATATTAAATTATTAATGTTATAAAGTAATCCTTTATACCATATAATTGGTTACCATTAATTGAAATTATAATTAATGTATATATCAATTATATATTACCTAATATCTATAGTTGCCTAAAATAATATGACAATTGTGTTAATTCCGTGATACTAACCAAAAGTTAAAATTTATTTTTTCTCAATATTCTAGTAAACTTTACTTAATTAACTGTTTAATTAATTGCTCAAGAAGACAAAATTGTTTAAAAATCACCGAGGTAAGTACCTATCTAACATACATTATTAATCTTTGTTTTATAATTATTTTTAATTTTTAATTTATCTAAGTGATTTTTAAACCAAAAAGCTAGACAAAACTGAAGGAATTTTGTTTGACGGATTTCAATTTTTAAAACCAATTTTCATTGATTAAAAAGTTTAAAAAAAGTTTAAAAAGTTTAACTATTTTTTAAGCTGTGATATCCATGAATAAAAATATTATATTTTTGTATTTTTATTATTCATCATGACACTAACAATAATTGGAATACTAAATATTGCCTCAGGTCAAACTTTGTAAAATTGTTAATCAAACATAATCCGTTTTCAAAATTTAAATACGTCAAACCAAATGCCTCCAGTTTTGTCTGACTTTTTGGTCTAAAAGTCACTATATTTTCATTGACTGATCAACTGAAGCCCGCTTAAGAGTGATGCGGACCTGTGGGGTGCTGCGTGGATGGTAGGTGGAGGTAACCAAAAAAATATAAAAGGAAAGAAAAAACACAGAAACTGAAGTAGGTAGTTCGTTATAGATTCTGAGTGAAACCATGAATGTATTGATTTTACAATGATATTTTTTTTTTAATTTTTTTTACAACAGAAATGTTTGTAGATTTTTTTGCTATTTTAGATTCTGAGTGGAACGATGAATATATTTATTTTACAATGATGTGTGTATTTTATTTTTTATTTATTTATTTTTTTTTTGTTTGTGTCATCACGTTTTAGGACAGTAAAAGTGCTTGGATTTTCTTCAACAGTAGCTTTTCTGATAGGAAAGTGAATCTAGTTGGTACTTTGGGGGGTCAAAAGTGAAAATTTCTCAGTAGTTTTCAAAAGCGGAGTGAAAAACAAAATAAAAATTTAGGAAAACGGGAATTTTTACAATAAAATCTGTTTTTAAAAATCGATTCTGGTTTTTAGTGCAACTCTTAAACAAATGACCGTAGGTACATGAAATTTCGACTGAATGTTTATATTAGCATTTTCTATACACGATAACATTTTCAAAATCTTTTGATTTATTTTGAACTGTTTAGGCACATTTTCATTTTCCGTTTTTTTTGAGTTTTTTTTTAAAAAATATCAATAAAATTTTATTTGTTGGTGGAAAAAGCTTGAAAATTTAATACAAGGCTCCTTCTATATTGTCAATATGGCATTTGAAAAATATTAAAAATCCTTGGTCACAGTTTTTTTTTATAAGCATTTAAAGTTCAAAAATTGACAAATTTGAAAAAATCACGAAAATTAGCAAATTATTTTGAGTTAAGAATTCGTAAAAATTTTTCTTTTTAATTCTAAGATTTGAAAATGTAATACAAGATTCCTTATAAGATTCCTTATACCTTTATCAAAAAAAAAAAAAATGTCTATATGAAAGTCAAATTAAATTTTTATGAGCGTATGAAATTCAATTTTTTTCAACATTGGATATTCACTCGATTTCTCATATAGCGATTTCCTTATTTTGTTGTAATTCAAAAACGAATTACCGTATATACATGAAAATTTCACATGTTTATATTCTCATTTTCTATACACGATAACATTTTGAAAATATTTTGACTCTTTATGAGCTGTTTACGGACATTTTCAGTTTCCAATTTTTTTAGTTTTTTATTCTATAAAAATCAATTAAGTTTTATCTGTTGGGCCCAAAAGTGTAAAAATTTAATACAAGGCTCCTGATATATTGTTACAATATCAGTTGAAAAATATTAAAAATACATAGGCACAGTTTTTTTTTTATTAGCATTTAAAGATCGAATTTTGACAAAATTTATCAAAATCTCGAAAATTATCAATCATTGTAACTAATAAATTATGAAATGTTCAGTTTTTATAGCTAAGGATTGCCAATTTAAAACAAAGGTTCTCATAAATAGGTCATACTGTAACCAAAAAATCTAAAAAATATATGAACACAGTTATTTTTTACAGATATTTTAAATTAAAATTTGGACGAAATTACATATTAAAAAACCTAGAATAACTATTTTAGTTATTTTGTTGTGATCGAATAATATTATTCGTGGGTACTTGAAACTTCTAAAGTGTACTATTATATATCTATGATAGTATCACGGTTTTTGTTGATGTTTAACGCGTTATAAGTACCTAATGGATATTGTGATATGATTATTTTGGAATTTATTATAGGTACCTATTTAGGTCAAATTTTGGTTTAGTACCATAGATATGTATATAATATGTCTTATACATAGACTGACATACCGTCTCCGCTCAGAATCGTTTTTCTTATACAATGATATTATATCGTTGAATTCAAATTTAATACCTATCATCCATTATACATTGACCCACTTGTAACCTACTGTACAGCAGAGCGACACCCACTTGCCCACTTTTTTTTATTTGATTATATATTATCTTTCAATTATTAACTGAGAAACGGTATCGGTGTCAACATAAAACTCGCGGGGACGTGTAAGAGGTCCGTGTCCGGGTCGTTGAGAAAAACAAGTGACTTCGACAAGCCGGTTCACCGAACGGCCGGGCGACGGTTCACGGCGCCGGGTGTCGCGCGCCGGCGTCGTCCGTCGTCGACTGTCGGTTTGTTTGAGAAGCCACAGCGCGGCTTCCTCTCAAAGGCTGTTTGAATTCAAACTGCCATTACGCGGGACCACGTCATACTCCCCCCCACCAAACCGCCAACTGCGTTGGTGTTCCGGCCGTTGCCGTTGTTGTACTGTGTGTTATGTGTGGAGGGTGGTTGTATTAGACACCTGTCCGCGGGCACTTTTTCCGGCTGTGTTCAGCGGCCGTGGCCCTGGTTTTGTCTAATCATGTTTGGGCCACGTGGGGGGGCTAAAGTAAATGAGGCTGACGTCCATGTCCTCGCCGTCAGCCAGGTCTGCGTCCGTACCTCCTAACGGTTGCGCCTCTTCTTCCGGGGATATTTCCATATCCACGGTTTGGGAAGTGGCGGCTGTTAGTTGTTCCATGCAGTGGCGTAGCCAGGATTTTTAAATGGGAGGGGCTAAACACTTTTTTGGGCAGCTAAGATAAGAGAAGATTTGAGAATTCACCCCAACCTAGTTTAGTTTTAAAAATATTTATTAAAATATAATTTATAATAATAATAATTTTTATTTCGGAACAAGTGCGCTTTACCACCCCATGCAAATTTTTCGATTTTTTTTTTTTTTTGAACTTATGTAGCTCATCGAGTTAAGAACGATGGTGCAATCAGAATTTGTCGCTCTCACTTAGTTTTGAAGTTATGGCCTTCCAAAGTTTTCAATTTTACGTCTATACGCATGCGCGCAACACTACTCTATAATGTCGCGCGGAGGACTATTTTTGTTATTTTTTTGTACTTACGTATTCTAACCTGTTTAAAACGATAGTGCAATAATAATTTATCCCCCGATTTGCTATGCAACACCTCCCCAAGTGGGGCACAGGGTTAAGAAAATTGCATTTTTGTTGCACCGAGTCACCGAGCGGGGCCACTCGCTCACTGCGCTCGCTCGGACAATTAAAAACGAAAATATCCCCCGATTTGCTATGCAACACCTCCCCAAGTGGGTCACAGGGTTAAGAATATTGCATTTTTCAAAATGAAAATTGCATTTTCACAATTAAAAATATTCCTCTCCTGGAAGTAGAAATAGTCAATCTGGTTTAAATAAATTCTCGCATTATACCTATAGTAGGTACCTACCTACCTGATAATAATTAATTATAATAATCATTCAATTATAAATACGATTTTAGATTATATTATATTATTAAAGAAACTATATTTAATACACAATTAAAATGTCATTACGTCAAGTGCTGCGTTCTAGTGAAGTTGACCTCTCTTAGTCCCGTGTTTGTACACTCGTTTATTTTTTATTTAGTAGTCTCACGAATAAGAAAAAAAAAATCGCGAAAGACGTGACACGTAGCGTTGCGCTCATGCGTAAAAAAACTCAAAATTGCTTACTTCCAAGGGCCATAACTTCGAAACTCAGTGAGAGCGACAAATTCTGATTGCACCATCGTTCTTAACTCAATGAGTTACATAAGTTCCAAAAAAAAAAAATCGAAAAATATGCATGGGGTGGTAAAGTGCACTTTAGCCTTTATTTCAGTCACTTGCTCCATTCTGATAGCTGCATCCTCTTGGACAAATTTCGAGCGAATTCAGTTATTATTTCACTTTCATCAAATTTCTCTTTTTTATTTATATTAGCCATAGCTAACCCATTCAGTCGATTTTCCGACATGGTGCTTCTTAAATAATTTTTAAGCGATTAAGTGCAGAAAACGTTCTTTCAGGAGTGGACGAAGTAACTGGTAACGTGGCAAATAATTGCAAAAGTATTTTAATGTTAGGTTGGAGATTGGTGCAATGAGAGAGTGAATCAACAGCAGAATTCGGTTTTGGAATATTATTTTGATTCCATTGATGCCTCCATATGAACAGCTCGGCTCTGAGTGTAGATAGAGTATCATCATGGAGATCTTGGCCATATATTTTAGCAGCTTTTATAATATTTTCATCATCATACATATTTAAATTGGCCGGAATAAGTCCTTCAAGTGGCATAACATCAGTAAGCCTTTGATTAAAACGAGTATCCATTGATTCTATTAAATAGTCAAGAAAAGGAATAAAAGTAGAACATTTAAAATATATATCTGGATTTTCAGAAATAACGTTTACTCTTTGAGTTTGTCTTCTACATATTCGGGGCATTTTTATTTTAAAATGTACTATACACATAAACACGGCCCATGGGGGGGGCTATAGCCCCCTTAGCCCCCCCTAGGCTACGCCACTGGTTCCATGGTTCCGGCTGCTCCGGTAGTGTTCGTCACTTCCGGCACCGTGGCCACGGTGAGGTGCGGGGTCGCAGGCCCTGGCTGTGACGGTTCTGGTGTTGTCTCTGGGGCTGGGGTTTCGGGCGGTGCTGGTTTTTCCAGGCGGTGTTGTTGGGACGTCATCTTCTTCTCGTAAGCCCGCATCCGCTGCTTGTTCCGGCGCTGGCGGGCGTTTTAATTGGCTGGTGGCGTTGTCGGTGCGGTGGTTCTTGGTGTCGGCGTGGGTGGTGTTGGTGGTGGCGTCCTTGGCGCCGGTACCGGCCTCTCCATCAGCGGTCGGGGTGGTGATCTCTCGGGTGCCCGTGTTGTGGCCGCCGGTCGTGCCACCCATCTGGGGCTACGGGACCTGTTGTGCTTCACTGTGGTTGTGGGTTCGCCACTTGTCGCTCTTCGGAACACGGCAGTGCGGTCTTCCCACCCCCGCGTGTAGACGGCCCACAGTACTGGGTCCCGCTGGAGCTGCGCCGTGGTCATCTGCCGTACCCGTGCCGCCGTGGTATTGTTAGTGCCCTCCTCCAAGCTGGCTGCCCTCAACAGCTGCTGGCTGCGTTCCAGCAGTTCCACCGCTTGTTGGTGGGTGGAGGGTGTCGTCGGCCGTTGTGGTCGCTCCATTTGGTGGTGTGATGCTGTTCCGACTGAAATTATGTACACAAAATTCTATTGTGGGTTTATAGTTGTTGTGGTTGGGTGGTGGGTGTTTGGGGCGCTGCGGTGTTCGCCCGTTTGAGGCAGGACACGTGTATTTTGAGTGCTGGCTGTTGGTCTGTGATGAACACACCTTTCAAACTCGCGTTTGTGCAGTTTGACCGCCCCCCCCCACCATTTCGGTGCGAAGCCGGCGTGAAACTTTTTGTGCGCGCTTGACAGGTGGTGTGCCTTGTATTACACCGTGTCACCTGTTTTGTACTTTGTTTCTGATCGAAAAAAGTATGGGGGCTAGCTTGGTGTCCCAGGTGTTGTGGTTGCCATCGATGAGTAGCGTGCGTAGACCTTTTTTTAGTTCCTGGTTACGGCGTTCGACTGGGTTGGCCCTCGGGTGATATACCCCAGTTGTCCAGCCCTCGGCTCCCCACCGTTCGATCGCTTTACGCATGTCGTTTGCTACGAACTGTGGGCCGTTGTCGCTCAAGCACACACGGGGGTATCCGAAACGTGAAAAGAATTCTCGTTCGAGCGTTTCGGTTATTGTTTTTGAAGTGGCTGTTCCGAGGGGGTATGCCTCGGTCCATCTACTAAACAGGTCCGTGGCGACCAGTATATATTGTTTTCCCCTACTCGTACGCGGGTAGGGGCCCATGAGGTCTATGCTAATCACCTCCCAGGTTTGTCGGTGTATTCTGGTGATCGCGGTGATCGTCGTCTGCGCGCGTGTTTAGTGGTTTGGTACACGCGCATATGTGACACGACTTGACGTACAGTCGGATGTCGGTTTTTTGTCCTTTCCAAAAAAAACGTTGTTTGACCGCCCTGTACGTTTCTTTCTAGCCAGGGTGGTTTGCGAGCACGTGATCGTGGTATGTCCACATCACGTTCTACGTTTTGTCTTTTGGGATAACTACGGGTGCGGCCCACGGGGATGTGCTTTGTTGTTCTACAAGTTCCTGCTCTTCCCGTATCATGTCCCGTATCATGGTATCAATTGTGGTCTGTTTTACCGGTGGATAGGGATATGGTTTGAGTACTATTGGTATTTGATTTTTGAGGAGGATGTCGTGTTTTATTAACCTGGTGCGTCCTACCCTACCGTTGAATACGTCCGGATAGTTGTGTACTACTTCGGCGAGTTTCGCGCGTGTGTGGTGATCACCATTTATTGTTAATTTGTCGACATCTAGAGCTGGGCTGGGGGTGGGTGTCCGACCTTTCCTGCACGCTGTTGTTCTCCTATTCGAACCTAAATGAATAGTGCTCGTTGTGTAGTCCCAGGTGACTTCGTTTTGTACGAGAAAGTCGTGACCTAGGAGCATGTCGCAGTATAAATTGTCCAGAATGTCTGCGTGAGATCTCCGATTCTGGCTACGAATGTGGAGGTACCATTTGTCATTGTGGTGCGTCCGTCCGCCATTCGTACCTGAGTTGGTTGTCCGTGTTGGGGTGTGCCAAATTTATGTGCAATGTTCGGGCTTACATACGATTTTTGTGCTTGGGAGTCGAGTAGGGCTGTTACGGGGCCTGACCTAAATTCGATATTCATTTAAAATTACTCATAAATAGGTAATTGATAATAGCTATAATAATAACATTATTGTTTGCTGTTTACTTAAAATGGTTGATATTGACTTAACTTAACTTTAAATAGTTAAAAAAAAGTGACTAACTTGCCCAGCTTTGTCAATTACACTGGAGTACCTAATTAATTACACAGACCTAATGATTTATACTATTTTTCCAAAAAAAAAGTGTCCGTGTGTAATAAGGGTGATGTATAAAAGAAAAACAAAAAATATTAAAAGTATACTGAGGTTGATGCTTATTTTGCCCTCCCCTTGACGAATTCCTGCGGACGCCTTTGTCCATAGCGGCATATAGAGGTTCAAGGCTTGATTAAGTATTTTATACATAAAACTCCATGTACTTATTGTGGATATTTCAAATAAATTAAAACATGATATCTTACCTGTACACATGGCTTACATAAGTTGATGCATAAATTACTATAGTAATTCCTGTAGGGTTCTAAAGGCACGCCGCCGAACAATGAAAAATCCACTTATATCTAAATGTTTGATTCTGTAATGTTTAACTTAACACCATAGCGAACTATATTGAAAAAATGTACATAATATAGATATGAATATAATAAAACAAAAAAAACAAAATCAAAATAGGTTTATCCGTTCGGGAGATACGACGCCACAGACAGACAACACTCACCACACAAAAAGTAATCGTGTTTTGTACTTTCGAACTTGATTACATAATTATAAGGAATATTTGCCGATGCGTTTGAAAGTACCACGTCAGGCAATGGCCTGCTCCAGTCGTCGTGGGATGGTATATTCCGTACTCGGTCATTACCCACGCAAGAACCGAAGCAGTGGCCCATCACGTATATAAAAGTTACTTTTATAATTCAAATTAATATTTAAATATTTAACATTTATAATTCAAAATAAGGTCGAGTTCTCCTTTGGCAGTTTCGTTTTTGATAGATAACATTACGCTGAATCGTTACATATATTCTACCTATAAATTTGTGTTTTTCCTAGACTTAATTCCTAGAAAAATCTCTGTAAATGATAATTATTATTAGTACTGTGTTAATACCAAGATACATGTTTTGGTTTGGCAGTTTCCCACCATTTTTAAATATCAATAAACATTTTAAATATTATATACATACATAATCATACATTCGTAATAAATTCACTCAACCAAGCAGTTTTACAGTCTTAAAAGGTGATGACAGACACAAAAATAAAAAAATAACTGCAACGCAATTTTGAATAGTTCAACTTGATCCGTTCATTTCTCCTGAAATAATTAACTTAAAAATACGATGATTATTGCAATGTACTGATATACCTACTGAAGAAGTGAAAGTTTATCTGAGACTTTTTTTTTTCAATTTTTTGACTGGGGATTTTTGAGGATTTTTTGAACTTAAATATTGGGATTTATTGAATTTTCATCTGGCAACACTGCTATTTCGTTCAACTCGGTCGATCATTCCATCGGTCCATTACAATCATTTATAAAACTGCATGTCCATTGTCCGCATTTCGCGTTTTGAATATACTGCGTTATATTTGTGACATGGGCGGCTGCTTTAGTTGTCGCCGTTGTCGGAGGAAAACTCTAAAAACAGAGCAAGATACACCAGGATCCATTCAGAATATTCCACCCGTGCCCAACGTACCCATACGGAATATTATGCCACCCGTGTCCAGCGTACCCATACAGAATATGCCACTAAAAGCCGAGCCGTGGTATTTTGGCAAGATCTCAAGGATAGAAGCTGAGAAACATCTACTCTTACCGGTGAATAGTCACGGATCTATTATAATTAGAGATTCTGAGACTAGTGTAAATGCTTATTCTTTGTCTGGTAAATTAATTGAACATATTTTTTGATTGATATATTAATATATTATGTACATTTACTATAGTTCGTTATGGTAATATTGTTCATCATTACCGAATCAAACAATTACATGAAAATTCTTCATTCTTCATTGTTCAAAATACAAAGTTTAGTAATCTAAGGGGATTAGTTGAGTATTATAGTAAATCATTAAGTAAATCTCAGGCGCCTGTTGTTGAACAATCTGTCGTCGTCAATAATTGTGATGTAAGTATATTGAAACTAAATATTTATCAGCTTAGGTTTTTTTCAAATAAAACGTTTGTAAAAATCAATATTAAAACTTAAACATATAAAAATAATAAACAATAATTTAACAAAATATTAAACATAAAACATTTGTAGCAATCTGTGGTTGAAGATCAACTAGCTCACACTATTAATTTTGGCTAACGCACTTTTAAATATATTTAATAAATAATCCACGTATCTAAATTAATGAAATTATGTAAATTATGAACATGTTAAAAATTAAAAAAATTATGTTTATTTTTTTGATAGGCGAAGAAACATGTAAATAATGGTTATGTGCCCCACAGCTCTGTGCCTCAGTGGAAATGTTTGTTTCAATGAAATCCATTGAAAACTCTTAGAAAATTAAGTCCAGGTCAGTTTGGGTTGTATAAAAATATAGCACCGGTTGCTATAAAAACATTGAAGACAAGTAAATTTAATAGTTTAACAATTAAAACAACAATTTAACATTTAAATTTAATTTTAGCTGAAATGCAAATTATGAAAATGCTCAGACATATCAAATTAATTCAATTATACGCTGTTTTCAATAAGGA